CACCCATGTTTAATCTCTCATTTCTGTTTACAAGAGAACAAGGTGGCAGATGAAGGTTTGCTACTTGACATTCCAGAATATTTTTTTCCTTAGCAATTGTTTCAGTGTATCCTTGTTAAACAAAGAATGAACAGGCTCAAACAAAAAAATTTACTTTCTACTGTGTTTGATAGGCATGAATGAATAATGCTTTTAACTCTCTGACATTCAAAAGAAAATGCTAAAGAAACTAAGATACATTAAGATAAGAAAATCAAAAGAAAACACTAAAAGATGGTTTCCAAATGGAAGACTCTAACTATGTTGGCTTTCAAAACTACCAGCCTGTGACCACAAAAGAAATCTTATACTCTGTGATAAACGCAACTTCAGGAGGAAAAAAAGAAAATAAAGCTATGCAGCTGGGCATGAACCATCAATCTGGATGTACAAGCACTGAACCACATTGCTGTGACTGAACAACGGGCAAACAATATCCACTCTAAGATAAAAGTATCAAGTGCATGCTTTTAGAAGCCCAAGGCCTAAATCATAAAAGGTATTAAAGTACTTAAAAGAGGTATCAACATTTTCAAAATCTTCCCAACTTCCTTTGGAAAAAAAACCCAAACAGGCCACATGGAACACCACTGGGAAACCAGCAGGTAAGGAATGCGCTAATGTGTACCATCCAAAGGTGATGTCATAGCCCTTGGAAAGTCAGGACTTAAGTTGTCCAAAATAGGGAATTTTGCTGCAGGACAGTAATATTTAAGCCCCTGCATAATAAAATGATCTTTTGGATAAGATGTTCCAAGATAGACCAAATTATGTATTTTTTTCAAGTGCTATTGCAGCAAGACCACCATTACGTTAAGGCTTTGTCTTCACAGAATATACCAATCTAAGCAAATGAGGGACTTACGGAGGTCTTCAAAGTAGGGCCAACTTTAAAATTAGACCACGTTCCTCAAGGCCTTGTCCAGCTGAGTTTTGCATGCCTCAAGGGATGGAGACTCCATAGGCTCTTGGCAACCCATTCCAGTGAACTACTCTCCCAGTGAGGAACTTTTCCTTTACATGTAACTGTAATTTCCCTTCCTGCAACTTGTGACTGTTGCCTCTTGGCCTTCCAGTGCCTACTTCTGAGAAGGGTATGTTTTCCTCTATAACCCCTTTACTGCAAAGGTGAGCTGCTGACTCATGTTCAGCTTGTTTTCCATTAGGTACTTTTCTGCAGAGCTGCTACCCCCTTCTTGTGCTGACGAATGGCGTTATTCTGTCACAAGTGCAGGAATCTGGATTTACCTTCACGGAACTTCATGAAGACCCTGTTGACCCATTTCTCTAGCCTGGCCAGGTCCCTCTGAAGGGAGGCTCTGCTCACCTGAGTTCCCTCACTGCTGTTCCCTCAGGTCTGTGTCATCTGCAGATGACAGCGCAGATGCAGCGACAGCGCAATTCCTCTTCTTCACCCTTCAATTGTATAATCCAACCCTGTGCGACTGCTTTGTTCTGCAACATTATCTGAACTAACTTGTTCTTCACCATTTCCTGTTAGAATTGCTCACGGGAATGCTGCTCCGTTCATCTAACATTAGAATAAACAGCAGTGTGGTAGAGAGAAACTTCTAAAAAAAATTCCTGGGCCAAATCCTTATCTTGTGTAAACTCCTCGCTTTTCTAGTCAGCTTATACTAAACGAAGATCCAGGCTATTCATTCAAAAGCCAGAGTGCCAGTAATGTATTTAAAAATCAGCAGGTTGTTTATTTTAACTAGTTCTCAATGCTGCATGTATTAGTTCACTGTTGGCATAAACATCTCCTGGAGGAACACAAGGAACTGGGTAGTTCTGCCTCACTGCTGAGTTAGAACAAGCAAACAAAAACATGCCGAGTGTTTCTACACTTAGATATATGTGCTTTTGAAGAAAGAATTCCTATTATTTGAATACATTTATTACCAGTTGAGCCTTGTTGAGCCTTCCTGATCTCTAGATACCTCTTGGGTTTAGAAAAATATGCATTTTTACGAGAAAATATTTTTTATAATCCTTAAAATAAATTTCTTGCACAACAGTGTAATCTAAAAAATACTCACAATGGGAGCAAAGTTAGGAAAACACTACCACCCATTAAAACCACACCCTCCTGCGGTCCTTGACCTTTAGCCGGGGCCTTCATTGCAGCCTCCCTTAATTTGACCCAAGGAGCTAATACGACTTACTTGAGCTCACTTTTCATGACAGGAACACTCAATACAGGAGACTTCCCTTGGAAGAGGGAATCGGAGACAAACAACAGTGCCTTTTCCATGACATCTATGCCGGATCATTCAAAGTTCACAACAACTCTGTTGCACAAACAGAAGCCCGCTGCAAGTCAACTTGCAGGAGGGCTGTTAAATAAATCTAGCTCGCGCAGATTTAGTCACCTTATTGCTCCTAAGTAGACCAGGAAATCAGAAACATCACGTGTGAGATATTCTAATCATACTGGACACGGTAAGACCATTTTCAGGTTTGATAGTTGATATAAAACGCAACAGTTCCAGGTCTCCTTTCACTGACACCACCTGTACCCTGTCCACAGCCATCACACCCAGGAGCTTGTTCTGGTTTGCAGCAGCGAGAGCATGGTGAGGCTTCAGCCCACAACACTGATCAGAATAAAACTAGGGTATTAGAACATGGATGTTCTCTTAAAAGATTTTCCTAGATAAATCACTCTACAGTTTGGATAGTACATGGGCTCAGCAGTGCTATCACCTTCACCATTTCTGTAGGCACAATCCAGCCCTCTCACAAGTGACATTGGCTCCACAGGATGAAAACAGAAGATCAGCTGGCAACCAATTCTGCTCGGAGAATTTGCCTCCTAGATATCTGTGAGCATCGAATCACACCATCCAGCGAATGGGAAATGGAGCTCAAGAAAAGGTGAAATCTAACCTTAGTACTTGCTTCCAGTATCCCTAGTGTTGCCCCCAAAAGCTTGAAGATACCGAGGTATGCTAAGGGGGTCCTCTACTAACAGATAGGGGGTGTATGTGTGTGTCTGCGTGTCTAATCCTGGGCTGCTCCTGTGCAAACCTATAAACCCACGTAGCCTTGGGCGTCCTGAGTCCTGGGTCTTGCCCAAGCCTGAAATCTGCTGAATGCCCTAGTCAGCGACTCAGTTACAAACTACTTCTTCTGCCACAAGAGGAAATAATGATAAACTGCTTTTTTATGCAAAGCTACTTATTTCCAGCAATCCTGTACTGCAGAAGGAAGGGATGGGGAGGAGGGGAAGAGGCTGGCAGGGAAAGCAACAGTTTGTGCCTGTCACTCAGCTCTGCATATGGTTTGAATGTGGAGATGAGCTGCTGCCTCTGTTCTTCCAGTAGCTATAATCCTATTAAAACGCCGCTAATTTAATTGTTTAAAAAACTACCAATCCCTAATAAATGTAAGATGGTCCACAAAGGAGTCCTTCCTGCAGACACACATGTTTAACACAGTGTAGCAATCAGCAGGATCAGCCTGGTCCCCTTATCGCTCTTCTGGTGCAGGTTTGAAGAAGAACTTGTTTATTGTTCTTTTTTGCAAACCTCTGTGAGATCTTTGAAGTGGTTGGGCTCCTTGAGCCATCAGGCACTGGGCTGCACCTGGTGCGAGGCAGACTGAGCAGCTCCAATGTTAAACAAACAGCGATCCCAGCTGAGGACGGCATATGAGTTACGGATAATGGCAGCCAGGACAGGCACGATCCATCCAAAGCAAACTGTACATTGTCTTAAAAAAGCAATTTGGAGCTGCGTTTGCTATTCAGACCAGTCTGATGTGTTTAAACAAAGACTCTATTCTTTAATACGCGCGCACACACACATATATATGTATATATATAAAAGAATCCCTTATAGGATGTATCCAGATGAGCATCCCTCCAACTCCCTGCTCCTTTTTCTGGACTTACTATGCTTTTTATTATTGCTGTCATGCCTTGCTATATCCCAGGCTTAAAACAGCATACGTTTGAAGCTCTTTTCTCCTTATAGTCAAATCAATACCACTTGCTGGGTAACCCAGGAACAAGCACACTGAAGTATTTAACAACATAACACCATTTCCAAAATATACTACATGTATAAGAATTTGGTAAATTAATTTTTTTTTAAATTGATCTTTAATGAGGAACTTTCTGCTACTTTATGAAGTTTTTCTTCTTTTTTGTGCTTTAAGATTAAAGTTTCTTCTTTTCTTGTCACATTATCAAGTTAAAAATACACTAAATTTATTTAAATATAAATCTTCCCCAAATTCTAAAATTGTTATCCCATAATTTTTATTGATCTATCTCTTCTTTTTAATAGTAATTCACACAAAAATACATCAGTTTAATAATTCAGGCGAGTCTTTATTCAGTCCTGTCATTACTCAGTCAAAAAAATCAACCTCATGGATTTTGCCTGAACATCAACTTCAGGATTTGGCCTTTGGAAACTAAGCTTTCCTTTGTGATAAATTATATCTGCATTTCTCCAGCTTCTATTACTACTCTTTGAGAGAGGTGGATGCTACAGCAAATCTGTAGCACAGTGATCATGGATCACACAGCCAAAGGAGAGGCTGAGTAAGACGATGGACCAGAAACATAGGTCCATGTATTTGCAGGATAAATGGAGCTTTTTTAGAATACTCAGGTTATTCTAGGAGGGTGTTTTTTATAGGCATTAAGAAACCAAGTTTCCACCCGCCCTGTTCCAACTTTCAGTATCCTGTGTAATCATCCAAAACTAATGGCTTTCATCAGTATCTTTGTAAAACACCATTTGGTCAGACATTTGCCAGGTTTTTGGCTATTCTTTTTTAGTTAAATTGCCTACATGCTAGTGTTCTGAAATAAAATGTAATAAATATATAAAGTTATTGCTCTCTTCTCTCTTCTTTCATTGCCATTACTTAGGCACACGAATATCTAAGGTGGTAAACAAACAGGACAAAGACTTGCAAAGCCATCAAGCAAGTATCATTCCTACCTCCAGCCTGGTCCTGTCCACATCCTTAGGCAATTTCACACGAACTCGGTTTGTTACAATAAGTGTTTCATAAGGATAAATCTGTTAAAAAGACAAGAGCAAATGAACTCCAGCCAAATCTGATTCTGATGTGTGGAAATGACAGTGTGGGGAACTTACTAATTTAAATGGTACATACTTGCATCCTGATTTGACAAATATTTCACTGGGACAAAAATTAACAAAATAAAATAAAAAAGGAACACATGTAACCTTGCTAGGAAGTGCTGAATCTGATTGTTCTTCCAGTGTTGGAAAAGCCCTTCTTACCTTGTATTCTGCAAGAGAATGAGAACAGGTTCATAGTTTAGAATTTATAGGCTTTTGGAGTCACCGCAATGAACATTTAGGTACATCAGCAATTTGTTATGCTACTACATTTCTCTCTTCTCAATAGTTGTTGAGTAACTGCATGCATAGTAAGCATTTGACCCCCATGCTCCGAATGCCTATAACACTGTCTATTACCGAAGCAATAGTCCTTGAAATCAAAGGCTTATTACAGAAAATCCATCTCCCGATGCCATTGGGTTACACAGTGAGTATGTCTGGCAAAATAGGGAATTTCTTTTTACAGGAGGCTTTTGTGCAGAGTTAAGTCAGTCTGTCATCCAAAAGTCCTGCCCTTATTGTTCTTTACTGAAAATAGTTAAAATATATGGATTATTACAGGCATGTCAGTTTGGGAACATATATGAAAACCATTGATTTAATACAGTATTCTAAGATGCCAACATCCTGCACTTCGGCTGACTGCAGTGAGAATAACAATAGTGAAGAAAAGATGATTTGGGAGTGTGGGGAGAACGACTCCTGGATCTAAACTACCACAAGAGTATTCTCGTTAAGTCAGTATATGACTATATATGATATGACTACCACAAGGTCATCTATTTACAACAATGATTAAATGCAACCAGGATGGCCAGTATGTTTTCATAGACCTTTTTATGGTCTGAAATGAAATCAGAGATAAGTCTACTTTTCAAAATCTGTTCTTTAAACTATTCAAACATAGAGACAAAGATTTGTATCAACACAGAGGCATGAAGTGAAGCATTAGAGTAAGATTTTTAAAACAAGATTGTGTGTCTTGGAAACAAAATCCTACTCTTCCCCATGAGCAGATGCATGTTCCTAAATTGCTCAGCTCTTTTGAAAATTCCAACCCAAGTTCCATATTAAGTTCAGAGTCCACTAAAACTGTAATAAAAAAAATGAATGCAAATAAATTCTGCTTTTTGAATTCTGTACATTTTAACCACACTGTAGCACAAACAAGAAGCACAATGGACTTTTTTTTTTTAAATTAGATATGTCTTGAAGGAGTGAGTATCTTAAATTTTCTCCTCTCTTTGATATGAGCATCACCACCACAGAGGCTGTTGCCGCATACTGAGGATATGGGGATTGACTTAGCCTGGTTGCACCACTTTATGATGCAGGACTTCAGTCAGGCCTTTCTGTTCAGTTAGATAAAAAGAAGATTCTCTGTGACAAACGTGATACTGAGCTGGGTCTCTGCCTAGTCATTATTACATGAACTATGAGAAGATCTCAGAACAGTAACCTTTATGGCAATATGTTAACCAGCATCCTCAAAGGAAGAAAACATGAAGTGGAGTGGAAATGATATGGCAATGTACCTTTCATCCCCCAGCTTGCCTCCTGGTCCGTTTCATATTGGCCCATATTTTCAGGCTGAAAGAGAAAGAAAGAAGCAAGGTAGCAGCAAAATAGGCCAGAAAACCACTCTGCACATTATCAAGAGAAAAAAGAAAACCAGCTGGTACCACACAATCAAAATACAGATCCTTGAGAGAGAGAAAGAGAATAAAATCTCATTCAAACTTGACCTAACGGCTTAAAGCAGGCATCCCAAGCTCTCCCAACACCCATTGATCTATAACCACAGAGATGGAGCAACTGCAGTGTCCTATCAACCCACCTCACCCCTAAGGTCTCTGGACGTTTTCGAGCTCTGATTCCTTGCAGCTTTCAGTAAGGCAGGAAGGTGTCAGAAAGCCACCAGCCACCCCCATTTGAAGAGCTGGCAGTAAGGTAAGACTGAAATTGTCACATGCCTTTCCCTGTGATGCAGACGCCTTACTGCTGTCGTCACAAACCACTTATGCTGCACTGAAACTTGTCTCATTCTGCTTTCTGCTTCACACTGCTGATGCCACTAAGACCAGGGAGAACTGTGCGCATGTGCCATAGCTTTGTTTGACCCACTGTCTTTTTCCTTTGCTGGCAAATGCTATGATGAAAAACATTACAGGAGATCAGAAAAGCACTATTATATGATTTTTTTTTTTTCCCCCGAGTCTCATTTTTGCCTGTTAGGGTATCATCAGTGTGCACAGCTATGCTCACAATAACCTGCAAGGCTCCTTATTGTTTTGTTTGGTTTATTTTGTTACGCAGCATTGGGACGGCTGATTAAAAATAACAAACCACAAAAGCTGGTATGAACCTGCAATCCAAACAGAGGACAAGCATTCTGGGAAGAATTTTGGCCTCAAGGATTTGACCATGAGCAACCTTTTCAACTCTCCTACAGTTTTCAGCTGGGAGGTTGGACCCTTTAGGCGGGACAAATGCTGCCATCTGCTGCCTTCCTACCACATTGCATGGCTTCAGCCTACAAGAGCTGCCAACTCCACGGCTGATGGAGTTTGCTTTGGGCTCCTCTGTGTGAAGCCTTCTGATGGCTTTGGTGCCTTCACCAAGCACAGCGGTTGGGCGCAAGTCGGTCCCTTGCTCGCTTCAGGTTACTGGTAACAGTTATTCTGAAAAGTCAGAAAAAAGCTGTTGACTCATAGGTGGGGACGGGTTTATCTAGACCCTTTCAAATTCCTAAATCTCCTTCGATCAAGTTGCAGTGCCACTGGTTCCTTGAGAGAGGAATTCAAGCAGTCAGGTACTGAAGCAACGCAGGCACAATTAGTCTCGTAATACTAACTCAAAGGGATGAACATTTCAGTAGCTACTGAAAAATTTATTTAGCTACTCTCTGACAGCTGATTTCTTGTAGCGACTTCCAATGACCTTATCACTGGGGTAGTTTAATCCTGCTCATATACTTCAGTAGCTTTCACACCTTCCTTTGGAGAAAGGAGGGAATTTGCATGAGGTCTTGTCCGTGTAATTTAGACACAAATCAATCTTCAAAATGTTAAGTGCACATGCATCTATGTATTGCCAACTTATCACTATTAACCAGTGTGTTTGTACCTGAAGATGTAAGCTGTGAACTGAGAACCCATAATGCTAGATGCCAGAGAGAAAGAGACCACAGTGTCAAAGATGCCTTTTTCCTAAAGACTTATAAAAATTAGAAAAAAGGATTAGAAAACCTGATCATAATTTTGTTATGCATATTTTTTCCAGATTGCTGCCTTCCATTCTCTCTGTATTGCTCCCTCCCCACCTTAAAAGTACGACTATGTGTGTATTACACATATGTCCTGGTTTTGGCTGGGATAAGAGTTAACTTTCCTTCTAGTAGCTGGTACAGTGTTATGTTTTGGATTCAGTATGAGAAGAATGTTGATAACACACTGATGTTTTCAGTTGTTGCTAAGTAGTGTTTAGACTAAGTCAAGGAATTTTCAGCTTCTCATGCCCAGCCAGCGAGAAGGCTGGAGGGGCACAAGAAGTCGGGAGGGGACACAGCCAGGACAGCTGACCCAAACTGGCCAAAGCGGTATTCCATACCGTGTGATGTCATGCCCAGTATATAAACTGGGGGGAGTTGGCCTGGGGGGATTGCTGCTCGGGAACTAACTGGGCATCAGTCGGCTAGTGGTGAGCAATTGCATTGTGCATCACTTGTTTTGTATATTCCAATCCTTTCATTATTATTGTCATGTTATTATTGTTACTATCATTATTAGTTTCTTCCTTTCTGTTCTATTAAACTGTTCTTATCTCAATCCATGAGTTTTACCTTCTTTCTTCCAATTCTCTCCCCCATCCAACTGGGTTGGGGGAGCGAGTGAATGGCTGTGTGGTGCTTAGTTGCTGGCTGGGGTTAAACCACGCCAACATATATATACACACACATGCATACTGGAAAAAACCAAAACAGATGGCTCAAAAAATGCAATGGATGTGGGCTGCTCCACCTTTGCTCTAAAATCATTACTTGCCTAATTATAGGCCTAACCCCTCTATCATTAATTCAAGCTATACTGTGATCTATTAATATGTGCAGCCTGTACATTTTGGACCTTCATTTGTTCTGGGAGGGGAATCAAGATTCCTAATGCTCACGATGCACACAATTAAAAGCAGAAGCCTCAGTCTGTCTTACTCTTGCAGACAGACAAACTGTAACCCACATAGGGTATGAATCTGTCAGACAGGGCTGGCAGCCAAAACACCTTTGAAGTGTTATTACTTTGTAGATTTTCAACTAGTTACTAAGCTGCTTATTTATGATACACTATTGCCTGGAGAATGCATTTAAATGTATACCTACCTGATGTAAACCATTCTTTCCATAGCCAGGTAGAGAAGCAGATTTAGAATATGGAAATCCTGTAAAAGACATAACATACAGCTATATTTTTTGTAAATCCTTTGCGGCCTGCTAAAACACAGAATTCCAGAAAACATCCAGAAACAGCAATTACAAGATCAATATGTACGTTCTATTAATGGGATGAAATATAACTGAGCAATGCTCACCTTTTCTCCATATTTCATGTACATGAACATGTGTAACAATGTCTATAAATAACAGCATGGCAGGATGCACTTACCTACTGGGCCTGACATGAAGAGAGTTGTGGGACTCATGTTATGGAAGCCTTATGCAGCTACATGATGCAAAGCAGATTTGAGAGCTTGTGAAATCTCTGCCCTCCATGACTTGAAAATGGGATTAAAGGTACTACCATTTTAGAGTTACATCACTTCTGATCATGTTGTATGTGGTCTGGTTTTGTTTTTGTTTCTTAAAAAGGGTTGGTATCCTACCACTTAAACCCACAAAATTTTCTTTTGCTTTCTTTAAAATTTCTACTGCTTCAAGTGGAAAAAAGCATAAATGAAGATATGGTAATGGTTAAAGTAAACCAGTGAGTATAAACACTCAAGAGAAATAAAGTTTTAAGGTAGACAAAATTGGCAAAGTGGTGTTGCCATGATCAAACTGGATGTAATATGGTGATGAAACTGTATGCAGTCACTATGAAACAACAGAAAAGCCTTACTTTTAATATTGACAGTCTAATAAGAAAGTTTGGAAGTTTGTCAGTGAAAGGACAAAAATGTGTTTCAGATTAGTTTTTGGTTAGTAAAAGTAATGCTGTATAGAAGTGACAAGCTGAATTAATTTAAATTAAACAGAAGATTAACAAACACATGTGTAATAAACATTACTGATTCCAGTACAGGAAACTGATAAATTGATGCAAAGACTTCTGTAAGTCAGTTAGCTCAAAGAACTGAATGTGTAACACTTCTGTCAAAAATATTAGCAATCTGTGTCCAAAGGGGAATGCAGGATGGGAATCCAGACCCACTGGATTAATAAATACCCCAAGGAGATGATTAGAAATAAGCATACAGAAAGAAAAAACAAAAGATGGATCAGCAAAGAGCTCACGATGTGCTCAGATAAAGTGAGAACTGCCAGAAGTCAAGCCGAGTTAAACACTGAAAATGGTATTAAAACAAACAGCAAAAGGTTCTCCAGCTATCCAAATAAAAAGAGAACAAGGCAAGAAGAAATGGGATCACTGGGAGTTATGCTGTATCAGTACACAGCAGAGGTGAAAGGTAGCCTAGGTAGGGCTCCAATGCTGAAGGCTTATTTCACCTCTGTTTTTAAGAACAAAAGGTGGAACACTGAGCAAAGAGGGAAAGCTAACAGAATAAGGGTACACCAATGAATCACAGTCATGATGGAAACATAATTCAAAGCACTTAATGTACTTAGGGAGCGATAAGCTCACATCGAATTGGAAGTCCAATACCTCTTACCATTGGAGAACAGCAACTATAGTTTTTATATTTAAGAGGGGAAAAAGATAACGAGGAGCTACCGGTTTGCTTCCAACAGAAAACTCTAAGGAAAGACTGAACAAAAACATCAAAATAAACAGCAAATCAATTATATTAATATAGATTTTAATTAGTTTGACATAAATTAAAGACACAGTGCCAGACTTGCTTGGTAGCTTTCTTTGCTAAGAGAAATGAATTCTGCACAACATCAACTTTATTGGATCTCTTCTAATGTGATATCATTACAGTGTTTGGTACTTGGCTGCACATGGAATTAAATGCAAATGTGGAGAAGATGGAGTTTATCAGAGGAATTACAGAGTCAGTAAGGAAATAATGAAAAGTAAGAAATGGGTAGTGAGAACTGAGCAGAGCTGATAGAGAAAACTGTCAGCATGGGCCAGTGTTGAGCTGAAATTGCCTCATGTTTTCATTAATAATCCGGACACCAAAAATAGTAATGGGCTAATAAACTTTGCTGTCTGCACAAAGTTATAAAGCACTGCCAATATAGAGGAGGATTGGGATATTATAAAGAACTGGGATAACCTCGAACATTAGAGAAATAGAAATGCGATAAAATTTAATAATTCATGGGAAAAGTCATGCACTTGGGGACTAATAAATACCCCAAAGTTCTACTGTTTAAGCTGAGGGCTCATAATTTGGAAGTGATGGGGAAGGAGACAGTCTTAGATATACAGCTCAATCACAGGATGACCTTGAGTTACTAATGTAAGTGTAAAAAAAAGCAGAAGTTGGAAATGACTGTCCTGATACACAGAAGATATGGAAATAATAGTATTTTCAGGCAGTGACAGGAGATCCTGGATGAATCATTTGTGCTGTTCTGGTTCATCAGTGTTCAAGTGGGTTAAATTAACTCCACCAGACCAGTAGCCTACAGGATAACTGGGGCAATGAAAGCTCATCGCAGGAAAGAAGGCTTGATAAATTTGACTTATTTACGCTAGTAAAATGAAGATGATCTATAAAAGCAAGAGATGTTTTAGAAACATAATCAACCACCATCTGAGAAGTGGTATAAACTACGAGCAGAACTTTTGTTTTCAGCCCCGCAGGGGGTTTCCACGTCTGATACAGGGACGTAGTGATGAATACTGAATTAGACGGATCACTTAGCTATTCCAGTTTGGCAACTAGAAACTTATCATCGTCTGTTATCTGAAAGGTAGCGACACCAGAGGGCGAAGAGTATCATACCTGTGAGATAGAATGAATGTATCTGCAACAAAACTATTGTCTCTGCTCCTGCCTGGAAAAAGATGCTGGTGTTGAACATCAGTTTCTTGGCCTCTTGGCTACAGAGAAGATGGGTGAGACAGTTTTGTTGTATCGCCAAATACTACTACTCAGTTACCAAAGAAAAATGCACTAAGGTAAAGACCAGTTTGAAAACAAACATGATTCACTTGAGCAGGCAGCAGTTGAGGAGCTGCCGCCCAGGCTGCCAGGACTGAGCCACATCTGCGGGCACAAGCGACATCGTGTGGCCAGCTGGAAAAAATCCAAGAGGCATATAAAGCCAAAATAGCCCAAAACAAGCTAGCAACACCCACCGAGTCCAGTGGGAACTCTATTTCACTTAGCTTCTGTTTCCCATGGGCTTAGTTACAACGTTAAACACTTTTAATTTTGCTTCTTTCTTTTTAATATAAAGGAAAAATATACCACTAAAAGCCAACAAACACATACTGCCCATTATCACATCCAACTGCAGTTGTACTGCTACAGTAAATTTTCTGGAGTTACTGGCCAAGATAAAGCAATCTTTCTCTCTAATTAGGTACTGCCTGAACATCAGCTACTCTCTGCATGGATACGTCTCCTGCTTTCTCCAGTACGACATTCACTCTAACCTGGATATTCTGAGGTTGCTTCTCCCCACATCAGGGACACATGAACAGCAAGGGTTACACAGCTCGCTAGATGTCTGCTTTCCTAAATATGTGATACTTAAAATAATGAATTATGGTAAATGATTAAACATCAACATATACAGAAACAAGACACATTTACACGCATGGATGTAAGGAGATGCAAGCTCCACTCTAGATGTCCACTAATTACACAAGCCTCATACTGATGTGCTTCGTTGTTAGATGTATTCTTCTGGGCATATAGCCAACTAATGTGGCTAAATATCTTCTAGAGCAGAATAACCCTTCTCTGGTTTGCTCAGAGGCTGGACGGATGAAGGCAGGGCTCTTTGCATAGCATGTTTGGGCACATCACCAGAGATTCGCAGTCTGATGCCTGCTAAGCCCCTCCACTCTGCATGTAACCACTTGGCACCAAACCTATACCCGAAAAGTTTATTTTCTCTGATACTCACTGACTATGCCACAGAGAAGGGGTTGAACGTCAGAGTTCTTAACCGTAAGTGCAAGAGGCAGAGAAGCTACTCTTCCATGGCCAATGGGGCATGTGACAGACTACAAATATTCAGAACTAAACAGGGAAACACTGAGTAGAGAAGGAATTACTTAGGATGTCCATGGGTATTAAAAGAGCCAGGTGGCTGAATAAAATCATAAAGAAAGGAAGAAAAAAGAAGTGTCAACGTCAGGAAAATAAAACTTCCTCAATGTCAATTCTGTGTAGCTGCTAATTGGGTAGCAGGGCCAACTTTCACGAGGGACAGAGAAACGCTGACAAAAAGCAATGGAAAATGAACTACATAACCTCTACTGCATTGGTACAGAGGTGATATTGACCCTGACAGAGCTGTGAACCATCTTTTGCATTTCTGGTTTTAATAGCTCCACATTCCCAAGATAATAAAAAAACCCAAACATAAAAGAAATGCTGGTACAGAAGAGTGACAGGTATAGCAATATTCTCATGAAAAAGAAATGATACCATATGTTGTTCCTGTATAACGCAGTTCTGGGTGTGCTACATACTTCTCCCTACTTAAAATTTGCAAGCAAGGACTATTCTCTCAATACCTACATAGAAAAGCATCAGATCAACTCCAGAAAGCTTCCGAACATACCCACCGTGTGCATTACCATGAAAGGTTTAGGTGTTCATTTCTGGGCAATGACTTATTGAAGTTAGGTGTGTGAGGTGGTCAGACTTGGTTTCCCCTGCACAGGGAGTCCTACAACACACCTTGTGCACATGTATGCAATGTCTGGTAAGGACTAAGGAATCAAATCTCTTCAAGTTAGACCAGTGAGACTAATGATCCAAAATAACTTTTCTTCTTTATCTTCTTACAGCCTTGTGACAGACTTTGTAGCATCTGTTTTTCCTCCTCTTTGCATAGCTAAGCCATAATTTCCTTAATATAAGCTGATGGAGCCAGCTATCACTTTACCAAAATGCCCACAAGACTGACATCCTAGCCCTGCTGCCAGACATGCCTTGCATTGAATGCATTCTTTTGGAAAACTGCTTCCCCAGCTTGTTTACCCCAGATGACCTGCTACTGCGGTATGGTGTAAAGTGGAAGAGCCAGGGAGAGGAATGGCCCAGTTATCTGTTAAAATTCATTTAACCTATTTTTTGTCATTTATGTAATCTAAAAGTAAAATTCAGACCTGATTCTGATGACCATTTCCTTCACCTCCTGACTTGCTGAAACGTGGAGTAAGAAATGTGTAGAACACACTTTTGGTACTGACAGGTAGCATGGGCATATAGTCTTCAGACCAATAAAAAAAATTACGCCATTATTCCACCTGGAACATTTCTGTGAACGTACAGGTACAACTGTGAGCGGTAACAAAAAATGCCTATTTTAAGTTAATCTCTGGAGCAAAGTGTTCTTTATGCTCATTATCACAATACCGAAGAAACGGCTCTACCAATATTCAAAATACCTAGTTTGTATCAAGGAGTAATTACCACAAGTCAACAATCTGCCTGATACTACCATCTTGTCTACTGAAAATAGATAGCATATAATAAATAGGCACTTTTATGTATTAATGAGGGGCAGGTTTTGTGGCAAGGAACCTCAGCTCTCCAAAGAGACAACATAGTTTCTTTATACAAGCAATGCTGCTTCTTTCACTAATATGAAACAATAAAGTTTCACTATCGAAGTCTGAAGGCGCTGAAGGCTTACAAGCCACAGCAAACCAAACGGACAAACAGGTATAGCCGCGATAGAGAAATGAAGCATAAAGCCAGCTAGAGAGCTATGTGGACGAGGCTGCAGCAGGGCCACCTTCCCTTGCCACATTCCCACCCGACCGCGCTGTCGGGCCGGGGATGCCGTACTCACGGGAGTAGCCGGCAGTCGTGCCCTCCTGCGCCCTCGGGAAGTTTTCTCTGTCGGTTCCGGCAGTAAGAGACAGGGATCGCGTGTCCGAATCCGGAGAATTAGTTCTGGTGTCCATATCCCCTTTCAGAATAAGCCAACTGGTCTTTAGCTGGAGGGAGTAAAAGCCTGTTACAAGACTCAGGATTTCACATCTGAGTGCAGTTCTCCTACTTCACCTGTCTAGGAAGTCTTGTGAACTGATGGTATGTTTATGCTCGTTGCAACTTGTACCAGCCTTTATCAAATTATAAAAGTTCACTATATCATGACTTAGACATCACAGCTACCAAAACCTTCTAACTTTCAGCTGGGCTAAGGATAGTTTCTCTGTTAATTAAGCTGCCCACTGTGCTCCACTTCAGAAGATGCACTATGTCATTTTCTAGTAATTAATCTGCTGTTAACATTTTTCTTGTCTGTTAATAGGCACCCTAAGTAAAAGTCTGCAGGCTTAGCTGTATCACCAATGTATATATTGAGACTGAGTGAAAATCTATAAGCTTATTACTCTTAATCTCAATATCCCTACTTCTTTTTTTTACTGTAGAATGTAGATTCTAAACTGTCTGGGTGAGAGATTAAAGCTTTTCTATATCTTCTCGGAAAGACCTAAAAGTAGTAATGATTATTTCACTTATATGAAAGAATACCTTTATGTATGAACGTGTTTTAAAAAACAGCTGCTTCAAGAAAGATCAATAAATTACTGCCTTTTGTTCTTTCTGATCATTACCTTCTTACTGTCCTGATCCAAGCTTCCATCCTCCCCTTCTGATCTTCTTGCTGCTGGAAGATTAAGTTGATTTTAAAAATTAGAACAGATTACATCTGAAAACCTAAAAGCTATTCACTAGGTAGTTCCCAACCATCAAATATGTTTTTCCTTGTCTTTTATGTCCCCGAGTATTGTTCCAGACACTGAGTTACACCTCAGAACCTTACAGAAAGATTCTGTGCCAAATTTCACATCGTTTTGGATAAATTCCTAAAATTTGAGTCCTACTTGCCTCTGTAACACTCTATGTTGTTTTGGGGAGAGTTTTAATGGTACAAAACTGGAGTAGTGCAATGACCTAGCATAATTTAAGCGCATGAGAAGTCATCACAACAAGGGGGTTGTCTGCAGTGCCTGAGTAAAAGGGCAACACAAGAACCCCATGCAACGCGATATAGCTAGAAAACATATATTAATAATAAAAATTGTATGACAATATGGAAGTTAAGGCTCAAATTAGATTCTCAGACGCAGAGGTGGAGAGGAGATTAAGTTGCACCGTTAGAAGTGCTGCAACTCTCCCAGAAAGTTGGGAACAACTCTGCCCTCTCAGTTACCCCAGCCAGCAGGTTTGCAGAGGATCTGCCCAGCATCTAAACAACACGGGCAAAAGGCCACCACCATTAGCATTTCAGTGCTATTCTGTCTCACTTTCTGGTGCCACCACACAGCTCACATCCAGCCCTTAACTAGTTTTGTTGAGAAGGTGATACTTAAAAAAATGACAAATTGCAGTAAGGAAAAAATCTTTGGTTTAGAGGTGAAAATCTGTCACTGTAGAGGTTTTTTCCCCTCAATTTCATGTGGCAAAACAAAGCTGGGTCATAAAATGGAAAAACTCAAGGTTTTCACAGTTAGCTAATAGCATGCCAGTGAGGGCATTTTCCCAAGATGGCAAGCTGCTTCTCTGAGAAATAAATAGAAAGAAATATCCATATATGACAGATGAAGAATAAAACCCCTACATTGCAAGAAGGACTTAAACCTGGTTCACTGATATTTTGGGAGCATACCCTAAATCACCAGTCAACAAGTTGTTCCAGGTTATATGTATGGATCTTGCTCTCACTAAATTAGAAATCCATATAGAGAATCTGATGCATTTTTGGAAATTGTTTTCTGTTTCAAGATGTTGATGTTTTCAAAGGAAAAAAACAGGTTTAATCCAAAGCGTTATTCAGAGATTTCAAACATTCCGTGGGATCTTGAAAGCATCTGACTTCAGAGAGACGCAGAGGAGTACAACTAAAATCAATAGGGCCATGAAGGCCTGCCCCTCCCAAGTTCCTGAAAGGGCCTTATACAACACATCTTTGGCAAATAAATCCAAGTGGCCTGAATTTCATCAGTACTGAGTGTTAGCTTCTCCACTACAAGGGATACTCGGTTCTGCTGTGAACCCCAATGTGAACTGCATGTTTCACACCGATCAGCGCTGATATTGCTGAAGACCAAACCTCTTAAAATTTTTTTTTTTGAAACTTTGAATGATGTTCAAGTATTTCTGAAACATGAACACGCACAAAATAATGACCACGCAGGCTCCCGCACTCTTCACTTTCCGACCCCAGCGCTCAGCCTAATCTCTTGTATGTTCCATTTTTCCACCACCTTTTTTTCATTCTGAAGTTGGGTGTTTATAATAGAAACACAGAAGCTGTAGCTACAGCAAATCTGTTGGGCACTGCTGTAACTGAAACCTTTTAAAGCCAAATGTTTTGGAAGAGCTTCTTGCACTTTTTGTTTTAAAGAACATTTTTGTACTTGTTTGTTCAAACTTGGTCTCTTCAACGAAGGAATGTTCTCTGGCTCCTTTTCAGCATGCATTAGTTCAGTGTCCTGTTAGCTTGAGGAGCTGAATCATCAGCTGCTCACGTGTTCACGCTTTAGCTGGGAGTTCTTCCAGAACAAAAGGTAAATTTTATTTATTTAATTTTTTTTAACTGGAAAGAAAGTGCGTTGGTTTTTTTGAGTTAGAATAAATGATGGTTTGCTCTTCAGTAGAAAAATGAGCACGTATTTTCAAAACAACCTTTCAGAACATCTATAATCTATAAAAGAAAGTTTAAAACATATATCCTTGTTAACCTATAGAGATTGCTGACTTGGTAATGTAATTCTCTGCTCACTCCAGTGATTACAAGGAACAACTCCATACAGTATTGCAAAATTGACATAATCCAGACTTCGACTGCATATCTGACAGATGGAAAACTGATATAAAAATGCCTAGCCTGGAAGAAAAAAAGCTGCTGCTTAGAATCCTCTTTGCAAACCAAGAATATCTATACAATTAAATGACACAGCCAGGATACAGGACATTGGAGCCATATCATCAGCTTGTGTAAATCAGTGAAGCTATGCTGATTTACACCAGATGATTGTAACTTTGCATTTGCTCATGATCTTTCCAAATACCACTACAATATTCAACATTTTCCTTTGTCAGTAGCTTTTTTCGCTCAGCCTGAGTAGTTGCCTCAAATGATTTGTATATCTAAGGACAAGAAGGAATTAGAGAGCTTGGGCAGACTATAAAGTTGGCAGATTACATTAAATCAAGCACTAAACCAAACAGATACTATCTTTTTGCCTGAGAGGTAACATTAGTTTGTCCAAGATTAGGGTATTGTGAGCAGAAAATGTCTACCAAAGACCAACACCTAAAGTGCACTGAAACATCAGCAAGTATGACTTTGCTCAAAACCATACCCAGAAAATCCACAGAGGTTATCTAAAGTCTGGATGATCTGAATGTGCAGTTACTTTAGCATGAAGTACCAGGCTCACTCACTCAGTTGGGAGACATCAGTTGACAATTTTCTTTCTCCTATTACTGTATCAGATCCAAACTAGAACTTCATCCAAAACAGAAATAACTGTCGTTTTCCATGAGAGATAGTATAAAAATGATAACTACATAAAAGCATAATTTTTAAAATGATGTTAACTGGGTATTTTAAAATCAATTAAAGCCCCCTGTTACCACAAAAGAAAAAAGTGTAAAATATATTTTCCTTGTTCTGACCACGAAGGCAGTGATGTATCTGCAATTCCCTAACCCTTCATTCAGGGAAAGTTATCAGCTATCAATCAGCTAAAGCCAACATATGGGAGAACAGACGCACAGACCTTTCTCACCCTCACATCCATCATGGGAAGCTGTCTCTGTGCAGACCTTCCCTTGCCACGAAGAGTGGTGCAGTTTCGTTCTCCCACCCGTACCTCCAAAGATACACGCTTTCATCCCCAAAGTGCCTTAGCTCACAACGTGATGAACACCTCTCGGGTTTATTTTATTCACTCATTCGTTCCCAAGGAGGGGTGCAGTCATGATTAAAGTAAAGGTTTTGGTGTGGGGCAGATTTATAGCATGTATTTTATTTTTGCCCTTTGCTTCTGAACACAGGAGTACCCCAGTCATGAGTCTCTTAATCAGAAATGTACTTCTGCACTTTTTAGGCACCCTTATTGCAGTAGAATCCCCACACATTTGTTTCCAAAGATTAATAGTGGAATTCAGTTTAGAAAAATGAATTCCCTATTACTAATCCTGTACCATGAACAAAGATCATTGTCAAACATCACTGAGAACACAGCAGGCACTGACACCAACATGGAAATTGCATGGATATTAATTAGTGAAATATAGAGCAAAAATAATAATAGAAGAATGCAGACTTTGTATTTCTATTTACTAGGGTCTTAAGTCCAATTCTCAGTGGCATAAAACATCACATGTTTCTTTCTGTTGTTTAGAAACTCAGAGAGCAATCTTGTTTCTGGGTCTACCAAAGGTTTTCCAATCACATCTTGCTGATGTTATCAGCTACTGAATTTGTTCGTCACTGCCATGGTGTGACTACACTTGTTCTTGATATTTTTTTACAGCTTGAAGAACTTGCAGATGAAAAGTAGATATTTCATATACACCACTTATCAATGTATAAATTTTTCCCCAGCAATGTAGAAGTCAGAACTGTTTACAAAAACTAGATATCCCAAGGCATGGTCTGAACCCAGGAGAGCAACCTTCAACATTTACATGTTTTATATCATTCCACAAATAAGAAAACTGCTTTGAAGTTAGTATCAGCTCTGACTTACCAAGGTAAATCAAAATGTCATTATCCCCATTTTAAAGAAGTTACTGAATCCTTGGACAGCATGTTATACAAAATGCTATTTAATTTTCACGTTACTTTTTTTCCTTTTCTACTTGAGATTATAGAGACATAATGAAATGCAAAGACTACAGCAAACTACTTTGGAAGTCAATATGCATTTCTTTACAATGACAGGTAGAGAAAACTGCAACAGAGAAAAGCAGACTGTACCATGCTGTTTGTAGATAGGAGGTTTCCTATAGATGTTATCTTTTACGCCAGTGTCTGAGGAAGAGGAAAGAGAAAGGAAAGAATAAAAGAGTAAGCAAGCAGTTCAGACCATGCTGCTCTTGTCTCCTCTCAACAACACTAAAAATGCAAACACATCAGCAAAGACAATGCATTCATTCAGTGGTTTGTCATTCACTGGTTATTACAAGAGAATGAAGCTTTATCCATCGTATTTATATATTTAAAACATTGGCTATGCCTATGTATGCAGCATAATCCCCTCTAAGTCCCTCAAAACACTTTAAAACACCTTGAATGGCATCCATTTGCTGAAAAGTAGGTGGTTACATCTGCACTACCAATGTATACTTCATAGACAACAAAGAGAAACTGGCTACACTTGTTACTACTTAAAATAGAATTCCTATATGCGTACAACAGACTACTGTAATAGTCACACTTGAAAAGGGACTTTCTCTATTAATTATGAAGAAAGTGTACGTGTTCAGATATAGATGTTTATACTGGAAATGCCCAATATTCTTATAGGAAATCCTATAGTTCCTCTATATTTTGAATTGTTGTCCTGGTTTTGGCTGGGATAGAGTTAATTTTCCTTCTAGTAGCTGGTACAGTGTTATGTTTTGGATTCAGTATGAGAAGAGTGTCGATAACACACTGATGTTTTCAGTTGTTGCTAAGTAGTGTTTAGACTAAGTCAAGGATTTTTCAGCTTCTCATGCCCAGCCAGCAAGAAGGCTGGAGGGACACAAGAAGTTGGGAGGGGACACAGCCAGGGCAGCTGACCCAAACTGGCCAACGGGGTATTCCATACCATGTGGCATCATGCCCAGTATATAAACTGGGGGGAGTTGGCCTGGGGGGGATCGCTACTCGTGAACTAACTGGGCATCAGTCGGCGAGTGGTGAGCAATTGCATTGTGCATCACTTGTTTTGTATATTCCAATTCTTTTTTTATTATTATTATTGTCATTTTATTATTGTTACCATCATTATTATTTTCTTCCTTTCTGTTCTATTAAACTGTTCTTATCTTAACCCACGACTTTTATCTTTTTTCCTGATTTTTGTCCCCCATCCCACTGGGTGGGGGAAAGTGAGTCAGCGGCTGTGTGGTGCTTAGTTGCTGGCTGGGGTTAAACCACGACAATTGTATAGCTAGCTTGGCCTTCCAGGCATTTTTTGAAAGCCCCCAGAGCCACAGTCCAGGGTTCCCATATCATGTTCTACAGACATCAGATTTACTTAGTACTGCAGACCTGAGCAGACACAATTCCTAATTACAGTGTGTTTACGGAAACATTAACCCCAGAAGCTAAACATAAATAAACATACTATTCCACTGAGCAGGTAGATGTGCTTAGCAGTCAAAAAGCTAAACAGTGCGGACATAAATTTAATGTGCTTCTTGACTGAATGTGAACTTGAAAACAGGATAGTACATATGCAAAGACACAGCCACAGTGAGCTTCCCAGAGTTCTAAAGGCTTCCAGGTATTTTTAAAGTCTATGTTAATATGACTCTTTAATTCAGAGAGTAGATGGATAAGTAAAAAGCCAAAACCAAAAACCCCTTCAGCCTTCCCTCCTGCACACAAATTGAACAGACCTATACAGCCATGGCACTATACATAATTGCATCTTTGTAGGCTTAATAACACTTGTCACCGTGTGCCTCCTCTAATTATACATAAGCACACAGCGCTCCAACTCCTTTATTTCTGAGACAAAGTTTAACAGGTAACGGACTTTCACTTATCAGACATTTTCTTCTCTTGCAGTTCAAAATTCACAAATCAATGCAAAAAAAAAAATACATTCAGAAGAGTACAAACAGGTGCCAGCAATTGAAGATCAAAAGCTAAAGCAGTGAATGCCTACCTGGAATATGGAAATGCCTAGGAGCCTGCTGATAGACAGAAGGTGAAGATTTGCTGTCTGAGTACATGGATAAGCTTGGAGTGCTCCGACCACTTTCACTGCCTCCAAGGGGAAGAGCAAAGAAAGCAGATAAAAGAAAAAATGGAAAGCAAAGTAGAGTATTTCAAGCATAAAAGCTTGTTCAGAATGACTTGTTAATCCAACAGTTTAAATATATGGTTCTTGTAAAACCCATTATTTTTCAGCACAGTGTATTGGCTTAGTCTTCAAACAGCTCATCAATAATGAATATCTGATAGATAATATCAGATTAAACTGCCCCACTTTGAAACAAAAGCTTCTGTTTTAACAACACTTTAATCAAGAAAATGCAAGGATAAGAACATCCACAATCTTGTAATGTGTTTTGCATAGCCTTAACTGAATAATCTAACAATCGAGTTTTTTAAAAGTTTAATGCTATGGCTGATGGCCTGCCCCTGAAACCAGTAATGAAATCGTTCAGCAGTGTTTCAATTATCTCAAAGCAGGACTAGACCAAAAAACAGATGTTATGGTTAAGTCAAATATTCCTGCATATATCAGTGACAAAACCAGATGTGGAAATTTGGTTCTTAATTGCAAACTTTTCCCACAGGTAACATGCCACAGCATTTTTTATTTATGCAAACAAGGTTGGATTATCAAGTCATGGATCTATAATGCCATAGTCACTTCACCAAATTTCAAGATATACACAGGATTGATCGGTATTCATTTTTCCACTTGTTTTGTCAAATGATCATTAGGTGCCATTCATTTCCTCCTAGCTTATTTCCCCGAAGCACACTCTATGGCATTATAGTGCTGCTTGGCAAACAAAAAAGTAAAGCTCTACTTTTTTGGGACTTGTAAAATCCTATTAATTTACAGCACTGTTAAGCAACTGGAAGCCAAACATGACATTTATCCTGACATAAAATGGTTGTTAATTCGCTGTTATTGTTTTAGTGTGGATGGAGCACGTATTTAATGGCTAGTAACAATGAAATTACAGCAAGTTTTTTGGGGGTAAGGAAAGTGCAGGAGCTCAGAGCGCTAGATCTGTAACAGAGTTCAGCCTTCAGGTAGGGGAAGTTTTATAACCATAAAACTACTGGATTACCGTAGCTGTCTAGGCCTTGCCCACGCAGGTGGTCTCTGCCCCTGTTGACCAGCAGTGGATGCACGGTCATCGGTCTGTCACCAAAGTCAGCCTTGACAATGCACCCCTGAAGTCAACGGGGTAGCGCCACTGAGTTCAACAGGAGCAGAAACAGGCCAGACGAAGTCAGCAGAGCGCGCTGTGTATCTCAGGACAATACACTAACTAATCCGTTCTAAATTTTGTGTCTGTTATTTTCACAGTTGGTGAAACATTAAAACTCAAGAACTATTCAGCTGTTACCACTGTGCACTCAATAACAGTGATTTCTCGTTGAAAAAATGTAATCTGAGCAGTTGAGAAATTGAAATCACAACCACATGTGCTAATAGCCTATGGTCCTTCCAAAAAGTAAGGGAAGAATTATGGAATTACTAAAATTCTGGTGCATCACCACCAGCTTGCCCTCAAGTTGTCCTCAAACAAGGAACCAGATGGTTATTCAGTTTCTTGATTCCCACTTTGCTCTTGGAAGGAAAGAAGCGGTGACAGGTTTTCACTGCACATTTATTAATTCCCTCTTTCTTTGCTGCTTGCTGCCCAGATGCTTGGCCATCCCTACTAAATGGAAGAATCCTCAATGTCACTCCCAGTTTGAATGCAAAGAGTAGTGGTAGATACTTATTTAAGTAAGGTCCCTTACAAGTCCAAAAAACCTTAAAAATCTTGTAATGTCATTCATTCAAATGTGATGTTAATATTGGAATTTTTTAATTTAAAATGAAAAGGAAAGTTTTCAAGTGATTTTCACAATGTATTAACTCCTCATTTACTTAAAAATTATTAAAAACATACATTCATATATGACCTGCATGAATAATCATTTCACTGAGCAGTGACCCCAGCGTGCTGATATTGTACACACATGAGAGTCGTTCTTCAGGGATAGGGTGGAGTGTCAGTCGAATCAGGAGGAAGCATTGATTAAGAGGAATAACATGTAAGAAAACAGGATGCAAGCACAAGTACCAGGGGACAGCAAATCTGCAAACTACTCGATGCAAGGATCATCTGTGTGGATCAGTTTGCAAAGCCATCACCACTAACTTGCTTAAAAGGGAAGAATTAAGGATGAAATGAGGGAAAAGGTTCTTCTTGCAGCTCATTTGTACAAGCTGATGCACATTCAAACTTTAATTCCGCCACTGATTTGGACAAACACAAGAGTAGGCATATTTCACATTTTGCATACAAAAATAAATATTTAATAATAAAGCAACCTGAAGACTCAAGCAAAAAGTTCACGTGTAGGAACTACAGACAGTCATTTAATCTAGCCTATAATTAAAATCTCTAAAATGAGACTTTGCCAGGAATTTGTCTCTTTCAAGTTTTGCCTGGTATACACTGAAGAGGAACTTCAAATAAGGTCTCAAGAGAAAATACAACTACCAGAGAGAACGATTTCTCAAACTTTTGGTCTTGTCTTCTGCCATAGGCAGCTGCAAGCTGTGGTCTGCTCTACTGGTCAGTGCAGAGCAAAAAACCAGAATCATGAACTCTTCCCTGGATTTTGTTTAACTTGGAAAGAATCTGGAAAGGTTTACTTTGAACTTGAGTGTCAACCACAAAAACTTCCTTGTGTCTTTTGGCTGCTGACAGGGTAGGCTGCTCTTTTAACCTTGTTTGTGTGAAGCCAACTGACCAGAGCTCAGACCATGCGCCCTTTCCAAGGTATTGGCAGGAAAAGTAAAATACTGTTTATACCTCCTTCCTAGTCAACTTTTATCTTATCTGGGAGGATGGGAAATTTGATAACAAGTTACAGTAAGAGCTGTCTAAGTTTGGGAGTGAACAACAAAGAGATGCCACTGGCCGCATGAGAGAGATGTCAGAGCCTACTCCCGAAACTGGATCCTTTAATATCTCTGCACATGGTGCATTAAGCGAGGCAAAGTTTTTTGAAGTTTGATGACTAATTCTTTTCAACCTTTCAAAGCCAAATAAATGGGCTTTGGAAGCTGTGCTCCTGCACTAAAAAGGCAAGATACTTTCCACCACGTTTTCAGTAAGCATTTTTGAGCAGGACTCAGCACGGCCGGTATGCTCACTGACCCCATCACCTCAAGAGGGAGAGTTACACCAAGCGTAGGTACTTGGAATATCACACCCTATGATTCGCAAGGACATGAACTGTGAAGCTGTCTTGAAGTGAGGCTGTCACAGAATTTATTCTGAAGACAAAAAATCCTTAAAAGTGCACAACCAAATCATTTGTCTGCATGATAAAGAACAGCTCATCCTCTTGCACTTCATGGGAGCTAGACTACAATACACTGAAGAAAGGACAGGAACTCAGTAATTATATTTTTGCTGGAAAAATGATGAACCATGTCATTCTCAGGAAGAATATGATGCTAACTCAGTGAAGTCAAAAGGAAGATTCTGTTTTAATTTCCCTAGGGTAGTAACATTTCTGTCTCCCGGAAGCTTAAAGAAATATTTTTTATGACGATTGTGGAGTGCTCATTTTACAAAGATTAATTCTAGTATTATTAAGCGGTGTATTGTTTTTGGATTTAATAAAAATTTTTTAAATTAGTTTGATTTCACCTTGCTAAAACTGAAGTGGCAACATTAACCTCGGTCTGGATACAAAGCAGCTGTTGGTACAGTCCTACTCTTCCCACACTAACCACTTTGAAGACAAAAAAATAGCACATTGACACCCTCAAAAGGCTTCTCCAGATAAGGAAAAAAATACAGCCTGCAACTCAGAGAAAAGAATTCAGAGACCTTGAAGAGGATCACACAAATCTGACTCCTTTTGGACTGAGACGTTAACTCAGTGTAAAACAGTGGATAATCTATACAACCTCTGCAGGGCTCAAGATTACCTATATAGGAAAATTACAAACAGACTCGCCTGCCTCACAGGAGCACTGTGAGGCACTGTAAGCTACTGCTTGCAAAATATTTTAGCTCCTTGATAAAAAGTGCTGCAGAATTGCAAAGTATTATAATTTTGATCACACTACTAATAATTGTTTGGGCATAAGGAGCTGCCACTTGAAGATTTCTTCCTCCAAACAGCAGCACTAAGTAATTGCTGCTGCTCTGAGCAACAGCAGGTACCACTGAACACAAACTCATTTTAACAGGAGTGCTGCCAAGCAACTGCAGGCGGGCTTTCAAATAAGAGCTTTCCATACAGTGAAATCGTGCACTGCAGCACACGGAAGAGGTTTTCCTTACTCAGTACATCAGGCTGGATAATATCATCCAAGTTGAGAGGACAGATCAAAAAACTGTTCAAGCAGTGCCTCAGAGAATACCAGGGTGTGTGCCAGCGTTCCAAGAAACGTGGCGGGCTTGTGGTTGCGGGAAGGGGCTTTGCAGGCAGACTTTAAAATGGCAAAACCCAGTTTAATCTCATCAGCTTTTTCCTCCAAAGTTTTCTCTTGGGGATCTTATTTGGAAGACTCAAGCCTGATTCTGTTCCTGTTTATACCAGTGAAATTCAGCTGTCTTTGGGCAGAATTGTTTCTGGAAGGGCCCAATGAAGATGCATTAGTTATTTTTCCAAAGGCAATGAGTGCCTGCTATTCACTTGAGTTTGCAAGTCTGGTTCCTGCAGAGGGTCGGTCACTTCCTTTTCTGTAATGGTTACGATGGCAAGAACAGTTTTGTTTCATTAAACCAAACAGTACATGTGAGTCAAGGAACAGGCATTGAAAATGTTTGCCATTCATGTCTCCTCCCTGTTCATATTGTTACTAGGGAGGACAGACTCAGGGGAAGACAGATGTGGTAGCTGAATGTCTTCTTTTTCTGACATTTAACTAACTAGCTAATAAAAAATAGCCTTTGCCTCAAAGGTTCTTGGCATTTCTCGGTACTGTCTCACATCCGCAACATGGAGGTCATTAAACTTTAATATCCACTGCAAAAAAAAATAATGGCAAGGAGAATATATTCAGTTACTCTGTTTTATAATACATGGCACAGATTATTTGCTAATCAGTGCAGCTATATTGATTTAACCAGCTTATCTGGCATAAGTTTTGGTAATGATACAAATAACAGGAAGAATATCTAAATGTAGGTTAGAAGGTTAGATAACTGATCATCCCATGTTGGATCCAATGTATATTTATTTAGCGTCACCAAAATAGGGTAAAAGTAAACACCGTAATTTAGAATAAACAGACTTTTAAATTATTCCCTCCCTCATTTTCATTATAAAAGCTAATTCCTTCCCTCCGCCCCTTTGAAAGACACTTAACACTCACTGAAAAAAAGCAAAAATAAAACAACCCATACCCACTCAGTTCTTAAAACTTACACAGTACATCAATAAAGCACTTGCACAAAATTAAGACAAATTTTATCCAAGTGGAAGCCATGCTTGCACAGACATAAAAGTGAAACACATCTGAATAAGTCTACAGTATCACAGCACGGTTTTGCATTCCTGGACCTTACCTTTGAAGAAAGGGATGTAATGATGTCTGAATGTAGATGTAGGGCTTGGGTGTTGGGGCAGGGAGATGCAGCTACTGGTACCAAGACTGTGAGTACCAGCTGGGGGCAACAGAGAGTAAGTGAAAATAAACTATTTAGTTCACTTACTGAAAGCCACAAATTACAACGCCATCCTTTTTTTCAGGAACATTTTCCTCCTGATGCTTAGAAAACATATAGTTTATATTTAAGACTTCACCCTTCTCTGGTTATTGCTAAAAACATCACGGTGGCCATACTATGCAGTTGGCCAAGGGACACAGGCTTTCCGCAGACAGGAAGAGTATCATATAAAATGCTGATAATGTAACGCATCAGAAAATATTCCAAAAAAGGCACCACAAAAAGCAGAGCTGCACTCAGGGGAATATCTGCATATTCAAAAGCTGCAGGAGGGGATGATATATGCTCATAATGGATCTAATGAAATGAAATGGGGAGAGTCTTGTCTCTGCTGAGAACTGTGCTATAAGCGGGTCCAGTTCTCACTGCCGTTGGTGCACACTGGTAGGATTTAGTTCACAACACACCAGGGCACTCAAGTGCATGGCTAATTTAAGCATTTGAAGAAACATCCTGAAGTTATTTGAGCTCTGAAAGTTAGACATGTGATTAAGTACTTTGAAAAACGTTCTCAAATGTCATCTTTGTTTGCTTTATTGTAATAATGTCCTGATAACATATTTCAGAGGACTAATGGCAATTATTAGAAGTGGCAATTATGATGACTATATTCTAAATTTTCAATGAAGCTGTAAAACATCAGAATTAATTTGGAATTTCTTTTGTCTTTCCTCCTTGCTTTAACAGTGTGCAGCTAAGCTTAAGCATGACACAGCTGCCAGACCTTCAGCAGAGACTAATCTTTCATCTCTTTAATAGATCTTTGATACTTAATCTCATTTCCACTCGTCAAAGAGTTTATGTAGTACAAATATTCAATTCCTGTAAAAACTCTTTCTGTTACCCATGAAATTTTCATTTCCACTGGAAAGATTAAGAACTCCCAATTTTCCAAACTAGTTAATAATTATAATGTGTCCCCAATTAAATTAAAAGACCCCAAGAAAATAATATAAATGCTCTGTGTTCCCCACCCAAATGATGAACTGGAGAAAAATCAGAATGAATTTTGAGTAATTTAGTTGACTATTTCCAAGTATAAAGCTCTGTACAGTGCCCAAATATGAATGGACTTTTATAAGGGACTTCCACACAAAGATCAAAAGGAGGCGATCCCCTCTCTGTGTGACAGAAGCACCAACACAGCTGTTACTACAGCCCAAAGCTGCAATAAACATTGCTGTAAGCTTCTCAACTAAAGCAACATGGCCTTCAAAATCCAGCCATTACAACACTAGTCACTCCTCCAGCTCTCGCACTGTGGAGAAGAGACATGGACCATAACCCTGCCGTACAAGAAGGGATACGAAGTCACTCGGATCACCCTCTTGGCATTGTGCGCGTTCGCTGCTACCATGCTGCACCTTGAAAGAGCTGTGGATTGAATGTGTAGCTTCAGGCAGGATGGGACCAGGATTAAGTCCTTTAAACTGTTGTCTCTTCTGTTTACAGATACATAAAATCAATCTTTCTAGATGCCTGTTTTTGTTTTCTTAGATGCTCATTCCTGAAGCGCTTGTTTCCTTTCTTCCCACGGGACTCTGTCCACAGTAAATAAATCACTGCAATGAACTGCTACTCCACCTTAAAACCCTGTCCACTGGAGTCTACCCTACTTACAACATAACACAAAGTAGTGGAAAAATCTAGAGAACAAATAAGGCTGCTTTTCAATTACCTGGTCTGCTGTAATGCTGAGGAGAATGGGAGGTTGGAGTGTAGCGACCATAGCCCAGCGAGCCAGCAGAGCTAGGACTTGACGTCCTGTACTGCTTGAAAGATCTGTCATCTTGGTCACCCTGAGAGGAAGAGAGGAAATATACATCATTAGGGAAGAGAAATAATTTCCGAAACAGGAAGAATGTGCCATTCTGCACATCTGTGCTACGTAGATGGAAGTCGATGCTGCCGTAACGCTCCATGCAACCCCAATGAAATGAGGTGGCTTTCAGCTGTAAGCACCTCCACCGCAGTGTGACCAAAAGAGCTCTGCCAAGTATCAGAGAACGGTCATGTTCCCAGGAAAGTAAGCACATACATGAATTTAAAGTGACAATATAATTTGAAAAGAACATAACACTGTAGAAGTGTTGTTTCAGGACAATATCTTTCACTGAACATACACAGGTGGTGGAAGATGAGATGAGGTTAGCGTGATAGTACCACAGTCACTTTGTACCCATATGAATGGATGCATAATGGTTACAGGCAACACAAAAATCAGCATTTGTTGGCTTCATTACATCACAGAAACAACTGTGTGTGCTGTATAAATTGCCCGGCATACCATATTACAACACTGTCATTACTAGCTAAGTAACAGATATAAACGCTCATATATAGCATTAGCATTAATACTGCAGCATTGCGCAAAGCAATTCATACAACCCACTTCCCACTAAACCCTTGGCTTCAACCCCTTAAAACCACATACACCCATTCCAAACCCCTCACTCGCTATAGCTAGTTAAATTACGATTTGCATGTAGTGTCTTCTTAACAGTAAAAGCATTACTGAGTGAATTCAATGTGGAAATGACTTTTTGTAAACTAGCTATAAAAGTAAATTCAAATTTCTTGTTTAAGACAAGCAAGAATTGGCTTGAGTTAACTTCAAATTACAACAGATCAATGTAATCTGCAGATGCTCCCTTATGGAAAGTCATACTCCAAAAAATGCTCCTCTCTCCTATTCCAGTAGGAGTGAGTGAAGATAGACTATACCATAGCAGGTGCCAGTCACTTGTCATGAATACTGGGACATCTTTAGGCATCTGTGTGACTCCCACTGGATCATTCATCATTTAAACACACAGGAGATCCCACTTAGCCCCATCACCATCTCCCAGATTCCTATCAGGATCCATCCATCTTCAAACTAATGTAGTCTCCTATTCAGCTTCTCTGGGATTATCCTTGACTCCACAGAGATTTACAACGTTCTCCCATAATCAGTTTTTCTCCTATGGTTCAGGTGTGCTCCAACCCTTCCACCTCACCCCAGACTCACTAACTGCATTTTCAAAAATGGAAAATCAGTTTTGTATAGTGGTAAGTAGCATTACTGCTTTAATATCCATTTCCGAAGAAATTATACAAAAAAGGAAGAAAAACTGATGCCTTCCCAGGCATGCAGCGTTCTGTAGGCATTCTGCCACCAACCCCTCTATGCCCAGTTTGAGATGTTTCCCTCCTGAAGTAGCTACATTATTTCATACCCACTCTAACCCTTGAGAAGAGTTACAAGCAATATAGCAATGTCTCTAGAAAGTCTTGTGATGATATTTAAATATCATGAGTGTTAGCTAATGGTCTACGATGTGTCCAATTGTATGATAAAGTGGAATTTTTCTCTAATAAAAATCCCTGCAAAAAAAAAAATGGTGACAAGTTTGCAGATGATAATGCCTGAGCACCTGATCATAGACTCTTTAGAGAAAGACAGCAAGCATGGCAAAGCTGGATAACATGGGAGTATTCCTGTAACACAAATCACAGCAGCACCAACCTCCATACCACTGTCACTTTCGGAATGTAATAGTATTGACGGGTTGATAACTAGTAGCTAATCTAAAGGAAATTATTATAATCTTCCAAAACACCAAGATTTCATATTGATTGTTTCAAACCTTACCTTTTGCGTACTTTGTGTCTCTGTAAGGAACAGTCAATCAAGTTCATGAAATCCGGTATTAAATAAAGTATGTTTTTATTTTTAAACTATCAGTTAAATTACATCTCTATTGGTTAACTTCTCTGTTTAACCAGTGCTTATAGTGACAGTTTCTGATTTACAATCCTTAATGGAAATTCATAATTCTCCACTATTACCAAATTTTGCAATACATAAAATTGGGATAATGGAGAAATTAGCCAGGCCTGTGATATGTAATTGAGTTACTATCTGGGAAACTATGTGAAATGCTATCACTGCTTCCAAAGTGATGTTTCTTGAAACAATGACTGGCTTTGATCATTAATGCACATCAAAATACACAGACCTAGAAGTTCAGGTATGTGCAAATGATTTAACAGTACGTATGCACAAATGGTAGAAGTAGTTTAACTATTTGTGGAATAAAAAAATAAAAAGAAAAAAAGAAGAGACAGTTATGCCAAGCATTAATTCAAGTCAACTCACGCTGGCACCTTTAAATGTAAACATAAAACATATTTCCCAATGTAATTTATTTAGTAGATCTCGAAGAAGTGACCACCATACAACCTTTATTTTGGAAAGCAGAAACATGGATGACAGTGGAGGTAGATGCATACAGATGACAATCCAGAAGCAGAGCACATATTCAACACAAGTAACACTGCGAAAAACATAAATTATAAAACCCCATGCACTGTAGAGGCAGGAGGCAAACCCCACATTTCAGACACTGCTGGTTATCAATATGACCAGGTTTATGCATCACAAAATGGGTCAGAACAGGAGAACAAAGGCATTGGGGATTACCTCAGTAGGTGCTGGAGAGAGCAACTGAGGTGACTGCAAACAGCAACACACAACAAATTAGTGATACAGATTCATGCATTATGTTACTTGTGAGAAGAACTACTCTTAAAATATCAATATCCATGTATAACACGATACAGTTAGGAAAAACACCTGTCAATTAAGTTAGGGCAATTTTTCTTTTTATTTGTTTTTAAATAAGGAATAAGATATGAATAATGTCACATGAAGCTTTTGTTGATTTCTCTGCTACAAAGTCCTGGGGTCTGGTGAGGCCAGTCCTGTACCACAGAGATGCTGCTAGTAGGCAAACTCCCATTTAAAGCAACTGCCTGAAACTACACACAAGCCCTAGTTAAATCTGCATTGAAGCACCTCCAAAATCTGGACTAGAACTCTGTTGTTGAGAGCTGGCTGGTTTAAGGGAAAGCAAAATATCTGTACTATTTAATTTTTAATTAAACATCATGTAATTCAACCATTTGCTGTTCACTCACTTTCCTTTCAAAATTAAACGCTATGTTTGGTTAGTTGAGCAAATCTACTGAAAGTATTGCGGATGCAGGTAGTAGCCAGGATGCTGAAATTTGGCAGGCAGGATTTTTTTTTTCCCCTGGCAATATCAAGGATATAAGTATGTGGAGCACCATGAAAATGTGCCTGTTGGATTGCGAGCACAGCCCAAAATCACCTCGGAGCAGGTGCGATGACTGAGTCCTCAGAGGAGCTGGGCGGAAGGTTGTTTAGACTATGCACCTCTGCCAAGTCTAGATGTAAACAGGCAGTTGAGGAGGGCCACAAACATTTTCAGCACCCACGAGTTTTGACACAGAAGGGAAGTGTTTATACTCCATAGGTTAAGGGCTAGGCAGCAGCTTTCAGTTTTGTGAAATCAGAAACCTAAATACCATTTAAACCCTCTACTAGATACAATCTCAATTCTTTTAGAATGCATTATAATGGAGCTACTGTGGCTCAACGTTGTACAGGGAGGGTTTGAAAGAGTTTGCAAAACCTAACATATGTGCTGCACTTTCCCTAAGAGTAGTACTGAGACTTTAGTGGTACTGATTAAGTGTAAAAGGTGTAAGTGATAGTAGAACTAGGGCTATTATTTATAGCATTTAATTCTACCCATTCACTTACACCTACAGAGAACAAAAAGCAGACTTCATTCTAGACCACGTATATCTTGCTAACATACCTAGTATATCTAAGAGGTTTGCTTTGTAAGAACTTACCTAAAATTATAAAAGAAATCAGAAATTCAAATGAAAGATAGATATGGTTAGGAATGAAAAGCTAACTTGCATGACAGGAGTTATATACAAATATGCTTCACAAACCCCAGAATTAGTATTAGTAAGATTATGTTAAATTAGATTTCAGTAGCACAAACTGCATCATATTAGCTCTGCGTATGAATAGGTTGAAATGCATGCGTGACATGAGGATGAACTTTAGTAAGGGACAGTTGAAAGAAACTTGTACATAGGAAAGTGATACCATTGTGTCACCAAAATAACGTGGTACACTTTAAAAAAAATAAATCATGAAAGACATTTGGCTTTGCTTCTGATTTTTGCATTATAATTAGCAATGCTCCTGTTTCCCACTGCATGCATGTAGAACTCCTCTCATAGAAAAACATAGTTTAATTACATGTCATCTGTTTAAAAAATGATCACAGAAAGCAATTATTTAATTTTCACAAACTAAAAAGTGAAATTAACATCTTCCTTGCTTTTTGGAAGGCCTTGTGAATGAATAGAGGACATGACTCAACTGAAGTTACACAAGTTAGGTTTGGGGTTTTTTTTAAATTATGCACATATTTAAGAATGTTCAGCAACATGTTTAATGATGCACATAAAATCTCAAATTCATAGGAAAAAAAATACCCATGTTTCAGTACCTCCCCGTAACTATGCCTGTCATCTGAAGAGTAACTGATATATGGAGAATAGGAGATCATATCTGGGCGGTCAATGTTATAGATGGCTTTATTTTTAGGAAGAGCAGCCAAATCCCTGTAGTCAAGAATTTCATCTCCAAGCTTTGCCTAAGAAAAGGAGGAAAGAAAGCAGTGAGAATAAGAAAGAATATGATCAGGATGCAAAAGAAAAGGACAGGTAAGTGTAAGTAGAAAAGTCATCATCATAACAATAAACAACTTTTTCTGTTTGTGCACATTTAAACCTCTTATATTTACTACACAATGCTAAATATTACTGCTGTTTTCTTCTTATACACTGGTGCTTTCTACTTTTCTTTGTCACTCACATTTGGTTATTAGGAGTAGCATGACATCATTCCAGTTCCCTTGGTTATATCCCACTTACTGCTAGCTGTGCAGAGACATGGGGGACAGATATTGTAGCCTCTTCAGGCAAAACACCCTTCATTTTAAAGTGGTTTCGGTGTGCAGGGTTCCCCTACTATAAGCAGTAGTGAATAATCATATATGTATTTCCAACATACACTCTCCAGATACTGAAAAACATTACTCAGGTCTTTAAATTTTCCCATTCAGCTGTGTCCCGCAGCTACACCTCCTTTCCTGACTATGTCTGAGTAGCCCTTAATTACGGGTCACAAACCAGCAGATGATAGATCTGCACCATGGTGGATTAGTTGGAAGATCATAGGTGCCACTTAGTAAAGTTCAAATCCTCTCATGAGACTCACACAGCCAACAGAGGGAAAGGGCTGGGCTGTGTCGCTCCCCATTCTCCTCTTACTATGCTTATTCTAAAAGTGTAATTACCAGAATGCCACATTTGCACAGATTATCTTTAGGATAATGGTAACGTGCACCAAAGATGTATCCAGCATGTACTGTCTTGTAGATATGACAAGTTGGCCACACTGAGAGCGGAGAAATGGGCAGCCTAATTGTCTCATTCCCAGTTCAGGCTTTGCAGAATTATAAGCTCTTTGCTGGCAACAAAATGATGAGCAAATCTTGCTGTTCTCCGAAAATCTCGGTATGATCAGCTATAAAACTGTAATAATGTTTTCCACATGCAAAAATATGAAAGTATCCAGGATTTATGTGTGCAGTAATTATTTTTTCTTACCATGAGCTAACAAAAGCTCAATAGATTTTTCCAAGGAAGTTTTCTATTAGTTAATCATACAGGAAAAATTTAGCATAACAACTTCCAGTTATCCCTTTTTCTAAAACAATGTATGAATTTGTGCAGGTGTAAGGAACAGGGAAAGGAGGAAGATTCCTCTTACCTAAGAAATGTGTTTTAATCAAATATGTGATTCTTCAGCAATCTACAGATCTCATCTTGCTTGCAGCTACTTGAAGAAGCTAAAGAGCAATGAAATAGCCCCTTAATGAAAATAAATCCCTCCCTACTGAGACGCAAGTGGCAAGCTCTGATGCAGACACAGGTCATGCAAAGGTAAGGAGGAGTCTGTCCATCAGGTCTGTTCCAGGAAGACTTTGGGCAGCATTGTACCTACAAGGAAGGCCAAGGAGGCTGCGATAATTTCTTTTTTAAGGTATCCAGGTTGTGGAGATTATTCTAGTGAACCCCAAGAAGTTCAGAATCGGGAATAGTTAAATGTGAATTACAGTAATTTCAGCCCCTATCTTTTCACATAGATGTGCAACTTGAGATCCTCCCACTAGACTTCAGAACTGTCAGGAGTCAAACTTACCTAGTTACATAACTCCTTTCAGTTTAAATATCAAAATATAGGCAAGTTTGGATGAAAAAACACCTTAGAGATACAGCTGCTTTCTAAACACTCAATTCGACAAACATTCAGCCTACATTGTTTTTTATTTTATTTGTTTCCCCTACTATCAAATACATGAGCAGAATTCAAGTATGTTAGGGAAGGCTCAAATTACAGCTAAAAGGCTTTAGGCCATTTCTTCAATAATCTGGTATTTTGGATTCTGTTAAAACTGTACTCTAAGTTTAGAGTATCCATTTCACTTGGAATATGTAATTTTACAATTGTATAATTGCAAATATGATCTGTATAAAAATACAATGTGATTTGTATTCCTAGTACGAGAACATACAACACAGCTGTGTAACCTAACCTAAACCTTCCAGTTAGATATATTAGGTCAGAGCACCTAATTCTCTCTTCTTAAAATTTAGCTAAGTATAAAGGACTTTTATTTAAGCCTTATTTAATGACATAATTTAGAAATCAACTGATTTTTAAGTGGAATTCAGGGACTCTGAGGGGACATCAGCACTAGGGTAAATTTCAGCCTGGATATAATGAAGTCATCACTAAGGATCATGAAAAGATGCCCATTAACTTCAAAGGGCGTTGGCCTGTGCCCTCTCTCAATGCAAGAAGACATCAAAGTCTGGTATCAACAGATGAAGAAAAAGTGGTATGGCTTAATAAACTAAATGTATGAACCACATTCAGGTTTAATCAAAACACACTTTCTTCACCCTTCCCCAGCTGACCGTTCACCCATGACCCAGCAACACGTCTCCCATGAGACGCCACATCGTTCGGAATGATTGCATTGCTCTGACTCGATGCCTTTGAAAGTATGAGCACCACAAATTCACGGTTCCTAAGCTTTAACCATTTTCTCTAAATTCTCTTGTCCAACATGATACTTCATAGAGCTCAGCGGTTGTTAAGGCACAGTTTTACTACTGTTTTTAATGATCTGAATCCATGCTGCTGCCGAAAGCGGCTGTACTGTGTGTGCCTTCCCACTCTGCGCTGCCTTCTACATGAGACTTAGAAGACATGTAGACAGCTGGGTCTTTTTTTGCCTCTTTGGTTAGCTGGAGGTTTTTCCTGGGTTATTTTTTAGCTGAATCTGGTCTCAAAGCTGACCGATCATACCTCTGTGTACCCACTAGTACTAGCACCAAAGAGGATACGGGAAGATGTGGCCAGAGAGGGACAGGGCTACATGCGGGTGGGACCTTCCTTTCAGTGGCAGCATGAATTTAGGTTTGGTAAAACCAATCACGAAAGCACCCAAGACAAATCTTGAGCACGTCTGTATGTCATAACACTCCTGTAATAGAAAACAGATGCAAAAGAGAGACAAAGAATCATTTTGATAATATAGAAGTCCAGTAACATGGTTTTAATTCTTTTTACTTTCCTGTTTGTGAAAGCCAAAATAGGATTTAATCAATCTCACAGCTTTGACAATTAAGCAGTCAGAGATGAGACAGATATAGCAAGAACTTGCATGCCTCTGGGGAATCTTTTTTCCTAATTGACTCATATTTGCTAGACAACTTTATTCTTTCACAGTCCCAGCTGCCTCTAAAGCATATTACAGTAACGAACATTACAGTTGTGTGCTGATTTAACAATATCCTTTGAAAAAAAAAACAGAAAAAGAGAATGGAAGTTTGTCCTTGCCTTTCAACAGCCCGTGAAGCATATTTAAAGCTGTAATCACAAGCATCAAGAAAAACAGTACCATCCAACAGTTAGATAAATGTCACTAAAAGCATATAAATCTTAGAAGAATGCTCCTGCTTATAAAAACAATGAAGTGGTGCATGGCCGGAGAGATCGAGACCATCTGGGCCAAAGAAAGTTCTTACATGGTAACAGGCTCCTAGCACAATAATTGTCTTCACAGGAGTTGAGGCAACAACTTTTTTTTTACCTGGAATATCCACCAGCATGGAGCTCTACTGTAAGAAGAACTCAGAAACACCAATGCACATTTAGGTAAGGGGCAGTTCCTCCACTTCTACTTCAGTCTTACTCAGATAAAGGGTATACAGCATTCAAAATAATTTTTACTTGAAGAAAAAAGACAATTTTGACTCCAAGGCACACTTTGCTTCTCTCAGTGTAGTAGATAAAAGCCCTCAATCTTTGTACAATAACCTCTCCAGCAGTCAATCACATCTCCAGCAATCTCCTCTGCACGTGGTCCTATCCGATGAGAACAACCTGCCTGCGTGAGGGATACCTGGACAGGACAAAGAATAGCCCTGGGAATACTGAAGCTCTGCAAGAGATGTTTGTATGGATCATGCCACATTTGTGGATATTTTTTAGCTATTGGTGGTAGCCTTGAGAATTTGGCCATGAACATCAGCTACAGCAATTATGACAAGCAAGGTACACCCAGTACTGAAAAAATACTCAGCATAAGCTTTTATCATGCTTGTTATTTTAAATTCTCTCTATGAGCTTTCCAGAGCTAGCACTTCTTAAATGATAAACACATCAAAGGTCTTCTGAGGTTAGGGACTGGCATTTGTCAAGGCCCGAGTCCTGCAATCTCATGCACGAGTGTTTTCATAAGCAATCAGATGCAGGCTCAAGAGCTTGATTTAGACAAGTTGCGTTCAAATCTATGCTTGTAATCTACCTGTGGGCTGTACTGTTTATTTAAACTTTTCTTTTTAGAAAGCACTGCAGTATTTTGCATGCTTTGGTATAAGCCAGCCCTAGTCATAATGCAAATGCTATAAATACACCACAAAAAATAAGAGGAAACTGCCAGAATTGTATTATGGCAAATGCAGTACTCAAACATTTTAACCATGAGGAAGTAAATTCCATTTTAGAGGAATCACTAACTGCAGTGGTTTGGAGACACTAACTTTCCACACAACGCACTAAACTGTAGGAGGAAGCACGGGGTTTTCCCCATCCCACAGAACGACCTTCGCTGTGAAATACTCACATAGATCACACGGCTTGGGGAACCTGATGTACTTGAAGCAGGTACAGAAATAATACTCTCAGAGGAAGTCCTCGTTTCCTATGGCAGGAGAAGAGAAGTGAAACAGGTAAGAAATAGAGGAGATGGAAAGAAAATGTAACCGTTACTTCAAAAAGAGTGTGCGAGACATTTCATTTAATTTAACCTTTACCACTCCAAAGTGGCATATTACAGCAAGCTCAAAACGTACAAGCATACCGAAGGGTTAAAAATAAAAGAACACTTTAAGTCCGTCAAATTCACCTTTTGAAAATGCAAAAATTATTTTACATATGACTTTCTTTTCCCCTCCCTTCAGAATGAAATGGCCTGGAGCACTTCTGGGCTGTCAGGACAGCCTTTGGGCACCATCAGGGACAGGTCAAGTTACAACATGATACAGTGGCAGCATTTTTACTCTGAGGCTACACCATCAAACCAATCTGCATTGCTTCTGGAATGTGTCATGCTACCGTGCCATTCACTCATAGCAAAGAGCACGACATCCTGCAGAGCATCCTCAATCAGACACCCAACAGGTTAGCTTCCCCCTCTCTGACTGTAAGGCTACCAGATTAGTTTTAATACTCAACTGGTTTTGCCCTGTTTTCAATCATTCTGGCATTCAGTGACAGACTTTTATTGCTTCCTTTTTGGTAGATTCCTTTATGATGAAAAATATAATTACTTTTAAATAACAAAGGGTTGTGAGACACAATGATATTAACCATAAGTGAACAGACTTCACGTTCATAATTGAAGTTTAAACAAATCTTACTATGAAATCAATGGGTTTATACCCTCTTTTAACCAGATATGTTAATTCTGGGTAAATATTCTTTCCCATCTATGGAGAAACCTGTCCCTGATTGCAAAAAGTATGTATTTTTCCATGCGCTCAGAATTACCATCATTTATTGTCTCACCAAAGGCTGACACTTCTCACCTGGAGGTTACAACTGTTCAAACCCTTAAAAGGATTTTAGCACTATTAAGCTGTCAGGTCAAGGCAGCATCCTCTCTACTACTCCAGTCTTTACTTGAAGTATTTACTAGCTTTTAGAAGCCATATGTGAATATATCTGTACTGTACTGTACTGTGTCAGCAGAGCAAACAAACTAAATGATCACAACTATCCTTCTGGTGACCTTCTTTAGTCCAAATAGTCCTGTGGCTTCTCTGAGACTAAATGTGGAGATACTTATCCATACAAAAAAGATTCAGTTTAATTGTTTTGGCATGGCTGACTGGGATTTTGGAATTTTCTCCCTCTCATTTTCAGTTGTCTCACAGTGAGGCTCTGTAAACACTCAGAAGGTCCAAGGGGACAAGCACAGAAATAGAGTATTATCTGAGAGATACTTGTGGCTGCCATTGAGATGATCATTTAACATGGACAGTGTAACTGCATTGTTCTTCTACATAGTTAAAGCACACTGTAGTTTTCCAGAACTTGTGTAAATGACTTGAAAGTGCCATCAATGCACTGATGTCATGTGCAAACCATACCTCTCTTTCATAATGTCCCTACAGGAGGCCCAGTGTGGTAGAGAAAAAAAACTGAAGAAAACTGCACTATTCCAACGTTTTGAACCCTGTTAAAGTCAAATGACAGTTTTGGATTAAGCTCAGGATTCTCTAGATAGAGCTTCAGAGCTTCCTTCTGTGTGTCATGTGCATCAGTAGAGCGTGCTTTAAGATCACACACTGTAGCATGACCTTAAAGCACATAACATACCTGGCTGAATACATTTAATAACTCTTAATAAATTCCTGGAGTTTTTTCATGGGCTTTCCTCAATTTAGAGATGCCACCTTGTTTTTAAGAACTACAATTCGTTAGAATTTCTAATTTTTGCAGTCAAAGTGTAGAGTCTCATCTTTTTAAGGTACTTCTGCTGACTTCTGTGCTTCCTTATGCTTTTCAGTTACTCCCACAAATTTTCCCATTTCACCTCCTGGTGATTAAAACCCGGTCATTCCACATCTCACACATGCTCTTTATTCTCTGCATGATCCATTACCCCTTTTAGCATCGCCAGTCCATGCCTGCTGCACATAACCTCCTAGCTTTTGCAGTAAAAACTTACACCTCAGTTGGCTCCATTGCCTCTGTTCAGTTCTTTTCGCCGTACTACACATTTTTATTCTTCCTCTACCTACCTCTTTTTCCTTTATGCCTTTTGATAATCCTTATTTTTTCTCTTGCTACTTTGATTTCTTCTGTCTTTTCCTGCTTCATCCCTTCTGCTTACAATCTCACTCTCCCATCATTTTTCTTTTTGCTGTCACTCTCTTTCACAACTTCTTTTTCCCTTCCACTCCATCTCCAAAGTTTTGGAGTGTGCTGCCACTTACTCCTTCTGCCTTTGTCACCTACTTTACATGCTGTCCATATATCTCTATAAATATACAGAAAGATAACTTTTAAAAACAACAAACTGCAAAGGTTGACCAGAAAATTTCTCAACCAGTATATCCCATTCCCAACTTCACAAGTTACCTTGAAAAGTCCATTACTACCCTCTTTGAAATGGCATCCTTTCTTCTTGATTTATTTTTTCAATAATGAGTGTAAGGACAAAAAAAGAGGAAAAACCCAAAGAAAAGGAAAAATTACTAGACTTGGGAAAACCCTTTGAGCTCCATCCTGGTTTTTTTCCCTACTCAGGCAAAACTCCCACCGTCTTTCAGATACAGATGTCTTCCTCTCTGCTGGGGAAGGAGCAAATTCCCAGTGCTCAGAAGAGATGTGTTATAAATGAATCAGCCTTTACACAATATCTTGCAAGTACACTTTCTTTGCCTTTGTGAGGAAAAGGTAGCCAAGTAGGAACACAGGACAACCAAGTTCGCTGTCTGTCTCTGAAGGAGGGGAAAAAACCCCAAACTCTACTACATTTTCAATAAATTACATGGGGTTGTAGCCTTGCAATTTCAGTTACTCAGCCAGAATAAAATCCTTAGGAAGCCTGAAATACTGCTTATTAGTATTAGGCTGAATTAGCAGCACTTATTAAAGTATTTTGACAATTTTAAATATACATGTATTAAACAATACATTTTACACTGAAATGCTACTTATTTGATATTCAGATCTCGCCATGAAGAATACCAGAGCAATCGCTTCCCAAACACACGGGTACAAAAAATACAGCCATGATCCTTCAGGGTAAAGCCCAAACCAATTTTTTTTTCAAAACTGTAATTTAGTCAAAGTTGCACTTGCTAACACACCAGATTTGTAAACACTCTTTTTATAGCTGCTGCCTGCTGTTCTGACTTGTCCAATGCCTTCCGTCCAAGCCTTGATGAATCAAAGCAAAGCTTTTTCGAACAAGGATACCAAGAGTACTACTTGGAGCATCAGGAAACATCAGAACTGAAACCCCCCATATTAGGCCTGTGCCTTAATGATATAGTTGTATCTCAGTCCCACCACTTCAGAGGGATCATTTCCCCAGCCACAGATTAATTCTTCATTTCCTAGGGGCAGCTCATTCATCTGCTAACCTTGTAATTATTAAAATTGCCAGAACTCCCCCTTTTCCCCTTGCACACAGACAGATGCACAAATCATCCAACTTAAGGAGGTACTTAAAGCCAGAGATTAAATTAAGTTGGGGCTGGCTTGCCAACATTTTATAAACAAATAATAAAAAAGAAATTCCAAGGAGAGATTTTTTTTTGTAAAAACAAATAAAGCGAAAGTCCTCTGATCTTTTAAGTGCAGAGCCACATAAAAAGAGAAGAGGTCATGCACTGATCACATCAAAATCAGACAGAACTTAAAAATTTATTTTTTTTTCTCATTCGTATTTTCACATTTTTCCTTATTCAGCTGATACATGTAACTCTTAGGTCAGCATTCTCCTGAAGCTGTAGCTTTAATCACTAAGTAAAAGCAGAATATTTATATTACATTATTACATTACATTAACCTACTAGATTTCTGTAATTTAAAATTTAAAATTACAGTATTGAAAAAATTCCAAATCCTTCCCTCCAAGCCCACTGTAAAAAAAGGGATAGAGAATAATACGACAATAGAATAACACTGGGTAAAAATATTGTCTTTTTACCTTGTTTTTTTCTTCAGCCTTTGCAGCCTGCCTACAAACTGGATGCCAGATGGATGTACCTGGAAAGTAAATTCAAAGTTCTGCTTAATTCAGTTCCCCAATAAGAACCTTAAAAGGTTTAAAATAAGAACCTTATTAAACCTTCCTATAAGGTTTTATAAGACACAGCATTCTGACTGATTCCACTGCAGTCACTATTCCATGGATACTTTCAAAGCTAAAACTGACAACTTCTCAGTATCGGTAAGCCTGATCACATCCATTTTAAAGACTAGGTACACTTCAGAGAGCTACGTGTACTTCAATATGTGAGATCAACACCAAAACCTGAGTCCTCAGAAGTGTGGTATGGGATCTCTGGAGCCCCTCCAGCCCAACCTCCTGCTCAGAGCAGGTCCCATTACAGCAGGCAGCTCAGGGCTGTGCCCAGCTGGGTTCTGAATATCTCCAAGGATGGAGATCCCACAGCATCTCTGGGCAACCTGTTCCACTCTCATGGTAAATATTTTTTTTCCTTATATGTAGTTCGTATTTCCTGTACTCTTATTATATGTGTTCTTGTAATAGCCTGGCCCAGGTCATACTAAGTAGCACACTGAGATGGGATGGAATAGCGTTGTGGCATTTAACACTAGCTGAAAATTCAGTCTTTCTTTCAGAATTATTCACTGTACGGATCTTGCACTTCCTGTACGTTTGTCTCTCATAAGCCAAATACTACGGAACTGCATAAATCTAAGAGAAAATCCATCCTGGAGGAAGTGGGAAATATAGAATGAACCAGTTCTCTACTACCTGTAAGTACTGAAGAGAGGATTATGAACTCCCGAGATATAAGTAAACATCAAGTGTGAGAAAGAAACTTAATAGTTTTGCATTAGTCACAAAGTTTAAAAAAAAAAAAAAATCTTTTAAATGGTTGAACACAATGTTCAATACTCAGTGTTCAATGGAAGTGGAATGTGTGTAACTATATAAAATAAAATAATTATTTGTAAATTTTAGTAGTAAAAAGGAACCTTTGTTTATGCCAGTCTGAGCTCGGACAAGCCACAAACTAAAGCTCCGCAGAGTTAAATAATGTGAGTGCACTGCGACTTCTGCCTGACTAAATGGGAAGTTGAGATCCTTTGTGTTATAAATATTTAATGTTTATACTGGGTGGAGAGCACCAAGAAGAGTTATTGGAAATGCTTTGTTTTCACAGCAGTTTGATAGTTTTCTAACCAGTGGATTTTGGAAACAAGATAGAAACAGAAAGTCTATTTCCCAGAAGACAGATGGAGATCATTATAATTTATTTCACAAAAATAACCCCGATGAACCCAGACTCAAGTAGTAAAAGACTATCTATAAGTACAGACTGGATAAATTATATTTACCAAGTTACTGAAGTTTCTTGGGACTGAACCACTAAGCAACATCTTTATAGCACCTTTAAATGCAATACTAACTTATCTTCCAATTACAAGTGGGTCTGAGCTTGCCCACTGAAAGCATTTGTCCCAACTGCTGCGTAAGTTGATGTAAATCTTCCCAGTGGTCTTAAGAAGTATTTAGATCAACTTTTTTTTTATCTGTGGTCAAGCAAAACTGGCTGGGAAACTTTTTGACACAGAAGAAAGAGTCCTTTCACCCAAAAGTCCACCCGAAGTGCATGCTGACGACTCAATTTCTGCTAAGGAACATGCAACACCTAAAGGAACTTTACAATAGTTTATTAAGAGGATGAAGAACAAGTTATAAAATCCTGGGCTCTGACATTTTTTACTATCTACCAATCAGGTGAGATAGTCCAAATACCTAATAACAGATCTTTCATGAAGTTAACATCACTTTCTAATGGAAACTGCTCTTCATGTGAAGACAAAAAGCGTACGACAGTAAGCTGGTACGAAAGCTTCATGCATCAGAAAATAAAGTGAGTAACATGGGTCCAAATTAACAGGACCCAAGCATATTTTGTGATTATTTGAACTAAAAATCAGTTCAAAACCTAACAAATATCCACCCTTATAAAAAACTGAACTTAAAAAGAAGATTCACTTGCAACCCAGTTTCAGAAGGTTTGAAATCTAGAAACAAATTTGTGGTTTGATACCCTTTTTTTAAACTATTGATTTCCCAGGGGATTTTAGTACTGCTAAACTACTTTGCAATTGGAAGAACCACAGCATTTTCTGGCTCCTGAGGGAGAATCCATGAGAACAGAAAAGGATCATTATGTCCTTTAATGAGCTAGTTCTTGTTGCAAACCAAAGTGACAATAAAATTGTCATTTTAAATAACGTACTAAATTATAATTAGATCTTACTGAGACCACTGTTGTGTTTTAAATAAAGTCTAACTTTTCCAGCTTAATGAATGATTTCAAAGTACACTTCTAGAAAACTGTGGACAATTGCAAAGTTATAATACAGATGTGGGCAAGCATGTGATTTTAGGATAATACACCAGCCTTGCAGTTCCCACATCTCACTGAGTTTCTCTTTTCCGTCTTCCTTTGAAAAGATACAGTCAGTCAAAGACACAGGCAAAAGCCTTCATTTTCTCTGGTGTCTGACCCTGTATTTAACTGTGTAGACATTGTTTTCTTTGATCAGTTAGTACAGCTAAAAGTTGCTGCATATGAAATACAGATTTTAGCTCATATCTATGTTAACTTTTTTTTTTAATTGAATAAACTATTGTGCAAGTCCTTCTCTATTACCACTGAAATTCCCTGACAAGAAACACTGAATTTCTCTTGTGCAAGCTTATGGCTGCGTAAGGTATAGACATATTCTCTAGTAAGGGCTTCAGCTCCATGGCATCCTCTTCTTCACGCTCTGAGGGCACTTAGGTCTGAATGAGGGGAATTCAGGTACAGACCTGCAGATTTTCTCCTCATACCCAAATGGGCAATGGGTACAGAACTGGTCTTAGGACTGCAACAGCAGCTTTGGGGAACCTGCTGCCCCTCATGCGTGTTAACTTTCATCTACTTCCATCTGCAGGAAGTAACTGCTACCACTCATCCTTTCTGTGATTCACACTTGCTATTGGATTTGAACTGAGAGAGAAGTAATAGGTGAGTAAGAAGCAACAAGGAGGGTTTTTTTGCTCTTTGTTAGCCTACACATTGCATTCTTCATTTTCTTTGGTAGTTACAAAGTGAGAATATGTGCAAAACACCTTAGCCATGCTAGCAGGTATGGGCAAGAGGGGCCTGTTGCCAAGCGTAACTGTTTTGGGTTTTGGTTTTTGGTTTTTTGCTTTTGTTTTTACCTTGAAGATACATTTCTTCTCCTTCTGCAAACATCTGACTGCACCTGACACATCGTGCGCACGTTGGGTGATAATGTTTTTCTCCTGCCTGTTTGGGAAAAAAGGTACAGATGATTAAGTACACTGATCATTTCAGCAGCTTCGCTATGTGGAGTTTTTCTTTCATCCTCTGGAATATGACTAATTAGAGTAAAATTAGTTAATGCCTATAAGTACAATAATCTCCTACAACCATAATGCCAATTTTTTATTATAGACAACTCATGATTTAAAATTTAATTATGGTCTCGCCTACGCAAAAAAGTTAATGCTCAATAGTTAAATCTCTGAATTTACAGAATGGAAACAATTTTCTATAGTGAACACATTTTCCCCTGTAAACAACCATATTGTGCACCAAGTGCAAGGTAGCTTAGGACTTACCTGCACAAGGAAGTTGGGAGGTCATAACCTTGAGCATGGATTTGCAACTTAACTGTATGTTTATCATGATCCCACTGAATATATAATCTTAATGCACAGTAAGAACCATCTCGTGCAAGGAATGTTTGTACCTGCTTTGAAACTGTCTTGCAGGTAATGGGTGCTAAAGGGTTTCCATGAGGAATGTGTGTGACATGCCTATAGGTCTCTTAAGTTCAGAGCTGACGCTTTTGGGTACTGTGCACTAACTCTCTCACTCAGACAAGCCAGGAGCTTTGCCAATTGTTCTGAGATTAATCCACATTATTTAATACCACCATTTTCATTGATGGGAATGAGAACAGGATTGAACCCTAAATTTGCTCAGAACAGCTTAGTAACTCATCAATTTTCATAAATTTAGATTTCCAAATACCTTATAACCCCATTAATTTAAACTGTTTCACCATTGACCTAAGTGTGTTTTTCAAGAGAAGACATCTACCTGCTATAAAGGAGCAAGGGCTTGCTATGTCAGAACATCAATGTGTAACACAGGCAAGGGTGAAGTTAACCTCAAATGACTATCAGAAAAAAAAGCCAAGAATCTTGGATCAAGGGATTTACGCAGGACTCAATTTTGGTAGCTTGGCCAAAATTCAGTTCTATGGCCGACTGTGGGCGAACTTGTTTGCTCTGGTTCCCACAGGCAAGGACAGCAGCACCACAAGGCAATGTTGGTTTGAGCCAGGGACAAAGATAGCATTCAGGGAGTTGTGTCCTTCTGAGTGAACAACACAGGGCAGGCCCTCCAAACTGCACCCTTACCCCGTCTTTCAGATGATACTCACAAAAGAGTTCAACAACCCAAAGCCAGCGCTTGTGCATGCTCCCAACACTCCTCACTCTTCCAAACCCCTACAGAGCCGAAAGCCACATCTTGGCATCTCCTTCCTCCTCTTTGATCCCATACTCTTCTGTGCTAGACAGAATGGCCCATGGTTTAAGTGGCTTAAGGTCAATGCCACTTCCATTATGAACATAAGCCAGGAGACCAAGTAATTCTAGAGCTTAGAGCTAAATTAAACTACGTTTAACTTAAAGGTAAGTCTGGCTTCAGTAGGAATTCTCCTGCAGTTAAAAATAAGCAAATTTTGGTCCATGTAGAATGTCTCATACCCTGCTTATCTGAAAGAGGTTGAAAGTGCTACTATGATTGTGTGTGCCTTTAAAAAATTACTATCAAATATTGCCCCACTGTCTTCAGCATGTAAATATGCTCTCACAGCATTGCACTGTAAATCCCCCTTCTATTAATATAGAAATTCTAGACATTCAACACTGTTACTACAGGAATGACTTGTCTTACTCTTTTTCATTGACTGAATGACAAAGCTTTCAGAGGTATTTATACTAAAGAACATAATCTGTGTCTGGGGGCTATTTTGCCATTCACAATATCAAACATACAAGTGTGGTAATCTAGGTTAAAGAATCTCTGGTTTTACCTCATCGGTGTTAAATTGATTCACCCCTGAGAAGCTGTTGCTGCATTTTAAATCAGCAATGAGGATGAGCAAGACATCACATCAAAACTGCCATTTTGAAAAAAGCTTTGTTCCAGTCCACTCTCCTTTTTATGGTGTCATTTGTGCAGACCACTGAGCAATTTTTGCAACTTGAGACATGGAAGATGGTCACTACTGTGTTGACACCTTAAGGTATCAGACCATGAAGTATCAGTATTGGGCTTAAACCTCAGGTTTAAAATGGCTTGCCGGATTGCAGGTGTTTAAGCACAGAAGGGTATTCAACTATCACCAGATAAACTTAGGTTTGGAATATCAAGCTGAAAAGAAGTATCATTTCCCTTGGAAGATTTGTACTGCACAAGCATTGCTAATGCAATGCATAGTCTCAATAATTCAATTGATTTAGCACAGCTGATACAATTCCGAGGCTAACACCCTCTAGGGGAATTCAATTACTCCTCTGCTAAAATACACAGTCAGAACACATTCTCAGATAACCTGGATGCATCACAGAATAAAATCTATTTCCCCAAATTTAACAGTACAACCAAATACATCATTTTAATTCACTCCATATAGTAAGTAATATCAACTAGCTGTAGAATTGCACAGAGAGACCTCTTTTATAACTTAGATACAATTATAACAGAGAAATCAGGGGATAAAGGTATAATGATCCTTTTGCTGATGCTCGTACCAGGATAACTCCAATGGATTCTGCATAACTACCTCTGAATTAAAATGGGACATACTCGAACTTTTCATATAACTTTAAGTGCCAACAGTGGGTTTTGTTCTCCCTGTTTAAAAATTTTTTATTTTGTCCCTCTTCTAACCAAAGCACAGAAGACAAGATATGGCAGACTCTTCATCAATTTAAGTATTTAAAACAGATCACATCATCTTTCTAAATGAGAGGCAATAGCTGAATCTGAGGCTAGTGACTTGATGCAGGAATTAACTAATAAAGTTCCCTGATATGTTTATACAGTTAGCCTGATTAGGTAACATAAATTATATTCAAACCTGGGACCTGGTTGTGTTGGGTCTGAATGTGAATCATAACCTCACCTGGGTACATGCCAAAGCAGCTTTCATCAGTGCCCCTTTCTCCTCTCTCTTCAGACTATTTCAGTGGCTTCATCTCATAGATAAACAATTGGCTCCAGCAGAACCCAGAAATTTTGTAAGCTTAGGGCAGCAACTGTTTTATGTTTTCAGTTTAGTTGTAATGATGGCCTCGTTATTTTTTCTTTTCTTGGTTATATTGATGTGAGGGACTTCAATGCAGCAAACAAATTCCTAACCATATGGTTACTTCTTCTTTGCACAGTTTGAAAGCTTAGTTTGACAGATTGTTGTCTCAGTGTTTAATAAAATATCAACACACACATCACACAGAAGAAGCAACATTCATCTCTCATATCTCTCTTATGGTTCAAGTGGTAGATTGCATGTAACCTTCTTAAATATCCTATATTTGCTTCAAGACTGCACCAGGTCTTTGTGCCCAGACATCCAGATGTGAGGATAGTATTATTATGAAGATCAATTTAAAGATTAATTCTCAACTGAGATTTCCTCAAACCTGAATAGCAAAGCATGTCCTTAGCAAGACAGCACACTACCAACAGTTTAATTTCTCTTCAGCTGACTACACCAGCTTTCCACAGTCACCGAGTCAAAGTGTCGGTGTGTAATTTAAGGTGGAGTCAAAACAGTCCTTAACACTCCGAGACAAAGTATTACGAATGACTTCCTTCCCTTTAGATATGAGGGGCTGCTTTGAATGGTAAATCTCCTCTGTGCAGCAGACAGAGCCTTCTGGGCTGGGTCAGCGTGGGGAATGTTCTCCCATGGGAGCCGAGGAGCTCCCCACACTCCCTGCCCTAAGCATGGGGGGCACCGCAGTGTTGCTACCCGTCCCACAGCACATCGACAAGTAAACCCATGCTTCACTTAAAACAGGACCAGAAAGCTCTGCAACAGAGTACATAGAACCGCCTTTTCTCATTTCTCCTAACTTCTTGAACCAGACAAAAGAACGAACCTGATGCGACAAATATGAATCACATCATTTAAAGCACAATTTGAAGACAGTAAGGGGTTTTATCCTAAAGTCTGCAGAGCAGTATGAACCCCAGGCCTGGGAAACATGCAACGCTGGCAAAACTGGAGTAATTCATACCAGAAAGAATAACCTTAACTACTTAAGGTTGGATTTTAAATTAGCTGTCATCACTCAGGAAAAAGATACTACATTATAGCAGACAGCTCAGCAAAAACCTCTGCTCATTCTCTGGCTATGACTGCAATAACTGATGAAGTGGTAGAATATATAAAAGATAATATGTATAATAATTGTAACTCTATCACAATGACATTGCTCATCTGGCCTCTCATGCCATTGCTAGGAGTGCGATTGATGTAATTTTTCACTGTAGTTGATGAGCGACAACTGCTTATGGATTGACACATGAGGGATTGAACCAGAGCAGCCTAAAGCTCAAAGTGCAAGCTGAGTCCTGGAAAGAAGACTCAAGATTTCTGATGACTCTCTCACCAGTATAGTCTCAGCACATCCTATCTCATTGCACTACTCAGTAAAGCAGCTAGTAAAGGCAAGAAAGAAAGTAGACAAAATCATTTAATGTGTTAAATAAACTCGTAACTATTTGGTTCCTTTCCTGAGAATGAAAAGTTTTCAGTAAACTTTTTTACTGTAAAAATAAAAAATAATAATAATTTAAAAAATCTATCCTGTTATCAAAATGCACGGTGGTAACTGACATCTTTTACTGCTGGGAGTAAAGAGTTTGTAGAAGTGAGAAAAGGTTAGACTGCCGCAATGACTCAATCATATCAAAGTATGTTTTCCATTTTAAATGTATAATACAATATAGGTTGCTGTAATAGTGCATTATTACCAGTAAGTGTTATCTATTGAGGCAGGTCCAAAGCTTGCCATCCTTATGCTCTAAAATCTCCAAATGAAGTCCTAACTGTATCCTATCCTGAACACAGATAATGGAAGTCAGCCTGCAAAACACTGAGCCTGCTGGTGTGCCAAGGCACGGTGCAGTTGCATGACCCAGAAACAAAACCCACAGAAGACTGGTTATAAAGCATTCTTAGTTAAAAGCTTTTCACACGG